TATGGTTCGGATTCTAGATATCAATACTTTAATTACGCATAATCGACATGCTGATCAAATACAATTCCAAGACCTAGATCAGTCCGTTCCAACTTTAGTCGTTAATTCTGATACCGGTGAGCATATTCTAGATCGTGCAGAGTCTGTCTCTCATGCACAGTTTGACAGACACACAATGAACCTAAGGAGAAGTACAATCGACTACAGAAATATAGATTCCGATTTAAGCTGTGATGATTGTGGCGATTGTATGGAATAGTGGTTATTTTGTACTTGGTGCACAACTGATGTCGAACTCCAAGTACAATATTTTTGGTTATGCTTACCTAATTGGCATGAATTGCACTTTTTCGAGAATTCTCAGATAGCACAACAATTTAAATACTTCCAATTATAATATGGTTTGCCTGAATACTTCTGTTATTGAAGACTGTACACTGACAACTCAATACATTTTTGCTGTTCATGGTTTCATGTGCACTTGGTACACACACATGCCAGCTGCATTGTGTACACCGTCAACGTTTGGTAATATCATAATCATTTGAATATTTACTTGATAAATACGCTTCATCAAACATGTATTTATATATGTATTTGTATCAAAATATCTATTAGTATATGTTCGATGACTCATTTGAGAACCAATCTTTCGGTTGGACTATTTTGTCCTAGATACCAGAACGAGAATTCATGTTGACTGACTTGAATCACGGTATGAAACACATGCTAGTCAGGAAATTCTTCACCAAGTAAAGTTTGAATTACTTGAGATTGTAAGTGAACAGGTTTCTGTCGTATAGAGCAACACCCCTTACCTAACAATCGTTCAACTCGGAGTTGAAATGTCCTACATCCACGTTATTATTCTCAAGAAGACGCTGGAAAATATGGCAGTCACCATGAAGTTCGTAAACGATCAATGGATCAAAGTAGAGCAGGTATGCAGCTAAACAGACGACGATTCACAAAACACATAAGTGAACAATCGATTTGATTGAATTTTCCGGGTATTACTCAAACAATCATCAATGAATAAAGCCCAGTTCTTAAGAATATCATATGGCTTGATGACTTGTAAATGGCCAATGTCAACTGGACACAGAAAACTGCTAATTTCATGTGCCCATTTAAATCAGGGTACAAATGACGCGTAGGCTACGACTGATCATATCTCTTCGATAATGTTTTCGGTCTTTATTTCATTTTGGCAAGGAATATATAGATACTTGTTCCTGGTTGACTTAGTATTTACCAGCGTCGTCATTGCGATTCCATTGTCTGCCGTGTTTTAAGACTATGTTAAAGATGGTAATTTCCGATAATTTTTAATCTACGAAATCTTTCTCGGTTGCAGGAGTAAAGACAGATGTACCTAATTGTTTGATGAAGCTCTTATTTACCACCGATCGCTTTCGCACAGATTCTGGTCAACAGAGATATGCTTCTGAACAACCGATGAGATGTGAGTGCGAAATTATGCAAAATCATTTGTTTGAAATTATGAGCAGCAATCACACTGTTAATAAAGCTGACAAGACAACTGATCCTATGCTACACTCTTCCTCCATCACCACCTCACCCTCCTCCTTCATATTCAGGTTCTCACAAAATCCGTTTGTTCCGTCAGTGTACGGTTAACCAGTTTTCACTGTCAAATGGAAACAATCGAAACTGAGTATCGATGTGACTTTCCATCGTTCATGTATTCACGAGTTTTGCTCACTGAAAAAGACTGGGTGAGATATGAAGTTTGACGTCAAAAGCAACAAAAGAAGCGACTATTCACGCTTGGAATATGTGACAGACCTAGGGCACACAATTAAATATGAACATGAACTACACTGATGCCTACTAATAACGACAAATCTACGACACTCTTTCGAATCACCCATGTTCGATGTTGAATGAGACAGAGAGTTGTGTCGAAACATGAATATTATGTTTGAATGTTATGTTTGCTGAGAAATGGAAATTATTAGAATTAACGCTCATAAATAAATATAGGTATTGAATGTGGTGATGTTTGATGTGGTTTTTACAAATCGATAGATCAAATCGCATTCGTGTTTACATTATTTACATTGTATTATCAGAATGAAATACTCCATCACTAGATGAAAACAGCAGATAGTCTCGGGTGAATGACATAGCATTGTTATCCCATCTTAAAGTTATTCCTAATGCAGAGTTTGGAGAGAAATATATGACATATTTCAGATACACAGAAACAAAATAAATGCATTGAAGAAATTCCAGTAATATTGTAGTGGACGATAACTTGTGGGAAAAAAACAAATTACTGTCCAACAAAAAATCACAAAGTGCCTTAGTAAAATAAACATGAAATACAATTCACTTGTCATTTCGACTGCTTAGTGATTCACCTCCCGTTCTTTTCATTTCAGTTCTCTGCTGGTAGTGACTCCGTTTCTGAACGCTGCTACGTACGGCTGTTATCTGTCAGCATAATAGCATGCATCTGAATATTTTACGTTGTACCAGTGGATGAAAGTACAGTTCACATTATTCTAGGGATCAGCATTCTGGCCAGTCAATTGTTATTGTATGTGGTTGTGTGTGAAGAGTACTTGTAATCACTTGATGAGAGCAAACAACGATGCTTTGGCAACCATGATGCACTCGATAGATGTATTTATCTAGTAATATCAAGCTCAATGTATACACTGACAATAAACCATTTTGACACCTATTCATCCAAATCCGCATCGAACATTCGGTCACCAACTTCACTGCACATATTCATCGTATCACTGCAAGAAACTGATGAATACTAATTTTATTGAATTATGGTGCGAATTGCAAACTGGTTGCAATTGATCATACTTCGTCCATAATATTCGTGATCTCCATTCTGGATTACACAGAATAATATCGAGATTCATTCGTATCCGGCTTAGTGTTTACGTGAATTCACATCGTCATTCCAGTGTCTACTATGTTTCAAGACAGTGCAAGCGATGGTTTATTTTCAACAATTAATATTCTACAAAATGTTGTATGTTTACAGAAACAGCAACATTTGTACTTGACTGTCAACGAAAGACCTTATTCACTATCGATTTCTATTACATAGTTTATTGAAAACATAAATGTGTTTCTGAACAATTGGTGAGGAAAGAGTGTAAGATTATGCAGCATCATTATTTATTTAAAATTATTGTTACTGATTACATTACCAATAAATATAACGAAACAAGTGATGTAATTTGTGACTCTTCTCCCTCCTTCTATAACCCCTTTTTCTCATTCAGATTCGCACTAAGATTCTTGCATCTTCCGTTTGTTCCGTCAGTGTACGGTGGACCACTCATCACTCTAAAATCGAAACAACCAAAACAAACGGAGGTTATGACTATCCGTCGTCCATTTGCACACATGTTCTACTCAAAAGAATGTTTTTCCATACGAGACAGACTTTTGAGCAAACAATAAGAAAGGAGTCGAATATCCACATTAAAAATGCGTGACAGACTCAGATGACAAATTGAATGCAAAGATGAAGGGACTCACGCAGAAGCACACTGATAAATACACATAATCGAAATGCTTTCATACCACTCACGTTCAATACAAAACAAACCATGGAATTGTGATTATGAAAATGTACGAAATGGAAAACAATGTGCATTGCCGGATGGATATTATGAAGACTTACTTAGGTGAGTAGTAACAAGCAACCAACATGTTTGATGGATATTCATATTCTTCACATCTGGTATAACCGCATCCCACGTATGCTGTTTCTGCTTGAACTATCTAGATTTGTTTTAGAGAAATGAAGTGAGGAGAGCTCGTTCAGTGATTGATGTGGAAATTTGACAGTTTCTTCAATCACATAATTTGTGTATACACGTACCTGCTTGTAAGTGTTGCAATGATGCGATGGCTCACAGAGGTCTGAATTGTGGTCATAGTACTTCGATTCTTTCATCCAATATGCAACAGCTCTACAACATGCACAATCACAACAATCCAACACTTGGGAAACCTACTCTGCCAACTCGGATTGAATAGCAGAATTTCGACCAACTGAATCCCGTTTACCAACATTTCCGATCGGTTCTTCGTCAAATGGATTGCATTTGTCGGACCAACTTTGAGCAGCTGCAGCCAGTTCATCGTCCCACTTCTGATACAAGCATAAAAACCATAGCAAACTAATAATCGTGCATTCATGAACAATGTGATGAAACGCGTTGAGATTAGAGTGCGAAGCACTAGGCTTCCACATCATCTCAAACTTACAAGAGGCTGTAGTATTTCCTCCGCTGGCACTATGTCCTCTTCGCCACACAGTTTTCGGTATGCTCGATGCTCATTATGTACTCGCAGCATGAGTTGTGCCTCCTGTGGGTCCAATCCGAAGACAGCTCCCACGACACAAATGCCAAGAAGTAGTGTGAGCACCATTCTCTGATATCTGGTTTCGGTCGAAGACGCAGTCATATTTATACCTTTGATTATTCAACTATTCTCCTCGAATTTCAATGCACTCTTCTTTATTTCCGTAAATGGTTGCTCGTTTTAAATTATAATATTGTTTGCCACAAATCACTACTTTTGCGTTCCGTAGTATTTTTATCTACATGTATGTGTTTTTTTGTAATAAGTAGTAGAGTGACTCGAAACGAAGCTCATTTGACACAACGATTATGTTCATTTCAATTGATTGAAATTCTCATTTAAACGACATACAAATAACTAATTCTCAAATATTGTATTTACAAATGATTTTAAATCTTCTCTCAGTGAGTTTTAGGAACGATTGGTAGTAATTTTTCCTCCTAATTTCTGGAATTAAACTACTTTCTTAAAGAAACCAACGTAGTTATATGTAAAAGTGTCTGTCAGTCACAATAACATACTGAATTGTTTTAACATAAACTTGATTTGCATTTCTTTTCGCTGTAAGTTTTAGCCCACTATAAATTTGAGCGATTTCCTAAAGATAAACCTTAGTTATCGTGTTGTACACAATGATCCTACTTTTGTTAATATCGTTAATTCTTGTTTCTCCCGGTCTTGGAGGCCAAGATGAAACGGCAAAATTTACAAGAACATTGTTACGAAATCATAATTGGGTTAGACAAACCAGAAATAAATGTGATTCTCGTTGGAGTACATCTGAGAAAAAGCTTGAGGATTTTGTGAGCTCATCTGACCATGTTATAATATTGCAATTTTGTTAAGAACGGAACATATGCACTGTGAAATGTATTTCATTTAAATATTTATTTTCACTATGGGGTGTTGATGAATAATGTGTAGTCGAATTTCGTTGGACAATTATTGAGAACCAAGAAGTACTGGGTAGTTGTTTCTTCTGAGTTTGAGATTACTCAGTGTTGTCAACTCGTGAATGCTCCGAACATTAAAATTAAGACCTACGGTTTCCATAATGAGCCCTTAACATTTCCACAGGTAATTTCCAGAATTCGGGCAAAGGCCATAACCAATGGAACTAAACGATATTGAATGTGAAACAATTACCAACCATAGGTGGTTGATGATGGTTGCTAAACAGTGCCATTTCATTGACGTTAGATATTTATATCAGTGAATACCGATTCTGTGGTCTAAAAATGAAATGCATACCGTAGGACCCTGAAGACCTGGGTTTGAACCCCTATTGAGCCATGGACACACTTCGTTCAAAAGCCCTATGATCGAACGAAGCGGACAACTGTTTCTTCCTACTTTTCCGTAATCGCCAAACCACAATCAAACCAAAATATGAATTGTAAACCTTCGTTCATCCATACGATTATCCACGTGATTATTTATTTGTAGATATGGGATGATGGATTATATGTGACCGCTCAACAGTATGCAGAAAAGTGTGAAAATATACCTAGTGGTTTACAAGACAGAACTACGTGTAGATGGAAATCAGTTGGTCAAAATGTTGCTCAAGTTTCTTCAGTTTATGAGTAAGATTTATTTAATATTACGTTACCATTTATTTTGCGTTTCCCTCTAATTTCCTCTAGTGCTATCAATGTTTGGCGAGATGGAAGTCGATTTTATAATCTTAAAAATGATGAATGTGTAGTGAATCATGATTGTTCTATGTATAAACAAGTATGTTTATATTTGTAAAACGAGCTAATGATTTTTAATTGAAGCTTGTAGACATTAACACAACACATATTGGATGTGGAGTTCACTTATGCAATAAAAATACAAATAAAGGAAAATATATAGTTGTTTGCAATTATGCTCCAGCGTAAGTATTGTATTTTGCAGTGTATTTAAATCTACTATAAGTGAATATAAAATCTGGCTCGAATCCTTATAATGGCTAAATGAATTTATTCTGTACACTTATAATTCTCCTTCTCATGTGTCCTAGATTAAACTCCTAGCCATTATCCATCTTTGCTTACAATGTAAATTATTGTTTACCTAAACATACTTGAAGAAATATTTTTCTGACTTCTTTATTTCTACGTTTCGGTCTTTTTATTATTCACGTCGATTTTTCTAGTTGTTCAAATTTAAACGTAGTCGAAATTATTCATTTTAATTAACTGTATTTAAAAGTCGTTTTCATCTACCGTAATTCTGATGATGTTGTTACTGTTTGTGATACTTTTAGTGCTGGTAAAGGAAGACCGTATGATGATGGAACAAACGCTAGGTGTAAACAATGAAATTATTCACAAGCCTGTTGATAAATAACATGAACTGACTTTTTTGCTTCTTCTTGTCGTAAAATTTTAATTGATTGTTGCATAATAAATAAATATGATGCCACTCGATAAACTACTTTTCCTCTGAAATCTTAACAAATTATAGTTCTACGAATATTAAGTGTAAATTATATTTAAAATAATCTCGGCGATTGAAATTTAAATAGTTCCGACGTGTCATTCGACAAACGCATCTGGACTTCTCCAGGTTAATAATCAAAGTCAAAATCATCAAAGCTAACGGATAATACTTATAATGAACTTTTTTGAAGTCATCAAGTCCATAAGTGATGTTTAATAAAACGTAGGGTACCACAAATTATTATTAGAATGTGTTGATCCATATCTCTACACTTCTCCAGCATTTATTTGGATCAAATTAATGTACTGCCTAATTGAGCCTTTTTCACTCATATTACTGGTACGTTAAAGCACTGACTAAAATTAATAAATCGATTCACTAAACTCAAGAGGTAATCAGGCGATTCGACTGTTGTATATGATAATAAAAGTGGCTGCTAATATGTTAAAAGTTTCATCCACTCAATCGTTTGCGTTTTTCCGTGCTTAAGAGTTAGCCCTATGGAATCAGAAATTTGATTGTTAAACAGGTATACATTCTATTCTCTTTCAAACAAAAACGTTTTCCGATCAGTTAAATCGAGTGAGTGAATAAATATCATAATCCTAATTCTACTGATGTACATTTGCCTGTTAGTGTAAACAAATTCGTCAATGCAACTGACTATAACTTGATAACCAAATTTGCTTACTTATCATTAAATGAACAAGCATATTTCATTAATTAAACTCAAGTATCACAACTCAAGAAATCTCCTCGGAAATATCTATTTATTGCATCCTTTTTTTCTCACCGATCATTCAGGTTATTTCATTTCCATAGAATGTCACTAATTCTTTAGTTGATTTTATTTTGACCAAACTATCATTTTGTATTTCATCGTAATCAGTTTCGACGACAGACTGGTAATATGATAAACAGCAGCAGTACCAGTAAAACTTTATGGAATTCATGAAGCATGTCTTTCACTATTTGTAACTCGGTAAATGAATGAAGCTGCATGACTAGTGTTGTTGTTTTTACTAGAATTCAATAACTTTAACTTAAGCTTATTGTGTTATTCACTGAGCTAGCAAGTTTTTTCGATAGGTATGGATATTTCAGTAGTGATTAGTTATCGATAGTTATGCAGCAGTAAATAAATACCCGAAATTAGTAGTTATGAAGGTGTTCGACATTGATGCTTACCTCATGAGTTTTATTGAACACTGATGTGAACCGCGAAACAAGAAGCCTTAACAAATTACGGAAGCTATTTTTGGGGACGTTAATTCATTTTATTCAAAGCTTGTAAAACTGTAACATTTAATTTTGCCCCTGGTCTATTCTACAGATCATGAGCTTTCGTTTGATGTATAAATCACTGCCATAGCATTTTCTGTTCTAATGCTATTGTCATTTAGACATAACCTTGTGTACTCTATTTTCTACTACAATCCCCAGTTTTGGACATAATTGTATATTTCTAATTATTGTACGTTGCGGTCAGCTTAGTCATCTATTTATTTATGTAACTTTTCACCCTAATTTGAATTGAGAATTCCAGTGCTAGATCGGGGTTGGAATAAAGTGATTAGTGTTTTAGCTGTCTTTGTCTTCTCTGTCTCTCGCGTGCTTGCCAGCCAATCAGAGACAGAATAGTTTTCGTCTCTCTACCCCCACTTCGAATTCACGCATACTAGCCTCAAGGTTAAGCCAGTCAGCCTATCAGTTCAAGGTCTTAATCTACATTAGACAAGTCATACTCGGAACTAAAGTGGGTAGACAGATTCAAGGACGTAACAAACACATTCAGGTTGAAGTTCCTCGTTCACGCATCCACACCAGATCGCGAGTGAGTACGCCATTATAAGCAACCCTTTCAGCTATTAGCCAGCGTAGCCGAACGCTTGTCGACATGTCGGTAGTTTCCCAACTACATCTTCAAACCCTTTCATTTTTGGTTTCTGATTTAACTGTGTTTGTGTGCTTAGATTGTAAAGATGTTGCGTGTAAAGGTATTTTCATACTCCGAATAATTGTGGCATCTTTAGTGGCAAGACAGATGTGATCCAGTACACCAAAAAATAGACTGAGAGTCTGTTCCTTTTTTAACATTATATATAATTGTCTTAGCTTTTATTTTGACGTATTGTGATGTTTTTCATATTTCTGGACATTCTTCTTCATGACTAAACAGACATTTAGATTTAAGACTTTGGTGATAGCCCGTTTAGATAGCTCTTCCTGACTAGGTTTTTCAAAAAGTTTCGAATGTCCCTTGTTTCGTTTGTAAATTACGCCATGACAAATTAGCGGCATCTGCGGAAGGGATTTTGGAGGTCAGCGGAACCCAAAACGCTGGGGCTCATTATGTCAAAGGAAAGTCTTAATCACCGCAAAATGATGATACTTGCCTGTTTTGATCCCACCCATTATCCTTATGTTTATCGAAATCGTAGACGCTCTGAAACCCCACAAAGAAACTCGTTTGGATAAAAGTCTATCTCAAGACCACAAGAAACAGATAATGCTGACTGGTACTGATATTAAAATAAATATGGTAAGTGATGTAAATAGAGTTACAAGAAGCCTTGACAAAAAAGGGAGCTATTTTTGTGAACTTTATTTCATTTAATTCAGTGCTTTGAAAACACTAACATTCCTAGTTTATTCTGCACACCGTGAGCTTTCGTTTGATGTAGGATTCACTGTCATATCCCTTTGTGTTCTAAAGCTATTGTAATTTAAACGTGTTCTTTTGTACTCTGTTTTCTACTTTAATCCCAAGTTCTGGATATGATAGTAGTTTCCAAATTGTGTTGTGCGTCGTGGTCCTCTTATTCATGTGTGTATTCATGTTTCTCTTTGTGCTATCCTTAGTCGAAACAAGACCGGAGTGTGGATCGGAGTTGGGAATAAATTGAGTAGCGTTGAAGTTAACTCGTCTTCTATCTCACGGGCTTGTCAGCCAGTCAGGTAGGAGAATGAATTTCGACTCTCAACCCCTAGCGAATAGTCTCACTTCGAGGTAACGCTCACTGGCCTCAAGATTAGACCGGTCAGTCATCTTGTCGACTTCCCAATCTAGATTGAGACAAGCTATCTTCTGCATATTATTGGGTAGACAGATTAAGGGCGTAACAGTAAGTCTTCTAGAAATTACAGAAAACCCTTCATTTTCTCATTCTTTCAACATAGCATGGTACACACACTTTCGTACGTCTCGATTCTTTACGACGACTCCTTCAAATAGCATATGAAGGACCTCCAAAAGTCTCTTACCACAAGCCTAAGTATTATATCATCGGTAAAAAGAGAACTGTCGATAACGTCACCATTGACTGTCATAAGGCCGCGCATTTAAAATGAAACTCTAATGATGCTGATTTTCCTCTTGCATGCTCGAATGGCACGAGCCTCAGAATTACGATTCGTTCCCTGCTAACCAACAATCAGGAAGTGAATCCGCCGGTATCGTTCAACCGGCTCGAGAAAACGTGCTCGGGATGAAGATCGAGATTTCTGGAACGTGTAAATGAGTGATACGCGAATGATACTGAAGAACAATTTATTTTAACCCGTTTAAATGTATCATTATTGCGATAAACATGTTTTCTCACAAACATATGTGCACAGTTTTTCCGTCTGATCACAAAAATTCAATACAACCCCACCAAACGTAAATTGATTTTACTCTACCACGTCTCATCGATACGCATGCATGCCAGTTTTCCATCGTTCGTTTTGTAAGCTTATGATCGTACATAAATGTTTCAACGTGCACTACGTCATGGAAAAGACGAAAAACCAACAAAGAGTACGATGAATAGACAATTTAATTGTACATTATCTTCATTACCACGATCAGATGCTTCTGAACTTAGCAGGCCTTCGGAAGAGTGTTTACCAACTGTAATCTCGCTGTATCAAAACTTCTGGCTGGACACGCCTCAGACTCACCACTACTCCAAAAGTGAGGGAATAAGTTGTGACAGTAAATAAATTCCCACCAGATCATTAGTAGGTACACCGTATTACGCGTACTTTGCAACCACATGCTAGCCTAGACCAAATACTTCCCCACATATCCATAGCTTTCTAAACATGTCTTCGATCCCTTTTATTGTCGGCCTCTGATTTGACTATGTTGGTATATTTTCATCACAAATATGTCAAGTGTAAATGCGTTGTCAAAATCTGGATACCGTTGACGTCTTTAGTGAAAACCCTACACGGTTATTTATCGTTGCATATTTATGCCCTGAGCAGGTTGTCTGATTTTGGCACTACATTTCACACTTTATTATATTTTTACGGATTCTAACAGGCGATAGTATCGTCTGCATTATTTGTGTGCTACGATGGTACTTTGATCGATAAATTGAGATAACCAGCAAGAGATATCGTTGATAAAACTATTCGTAAAGGAGGGGAATGTCTTTAGCTTTATGAAAACATCATTAGTCTACCGACATTGTTTGATGTTATGGTGGAACTAAACATTTAAATGCAAAGAAGTGGTCATTACAACTCTGCCTTCCAATATGGAATCAACTACCTTCATTTTAGGCCATTTTATCTGCTTGATCGTTTGTGAAAATATGTATAAATAATGAACTGTCCAGCCAGTTACTGAACTCACCATTGTCAATAAGTGGTTACTCATTTTCACTACCTTTTCATGTTAGAACATATAAAGTATAGCAGCAGTCCATTAAAATATCTTTGTTTGACACGGCTCTAAAGAATACTTTGTTGACATTAATTAGTTAACAAATCAAAATAAAATTAGATTTTCTCCTCCGCACCAGCGAAACATCAATTTACTTTAGACGAACAACCACACTAACTCCGACCAAGAACCCTTGACTAGCCGAACTATGACATGAGTTTATTTGATTGTCAACAAAAAACAACAACGACGACGATTCATGTATATTTAACACTTGTCAAGGATACAGTGAGTTGTTTTTATTAACTACAGCACTACTTCATCACAACAGAACAACATAAACCCCATATTTCTGTAGATCATCAACGTAGGTGATCTGTATGTATGATTAAACACCCACTGGAGCTGTACAGAAATGCTGAGAACTCCTAGCATACATTCAAGTCGTACCACCCACACACAATGTAGATTTAACATTCGTCGTATTCAGGCACTGCAGATATTTTGATAACCGTACAGAAGGAATATGATGTCATTAAAAAATGTATCAGCAGTAACGGGTTGAAGAAACTAAGTGAGACAACTGCCATAGCCACCTGTTCATAACGTGCAATTGTTTGTTAACCTTTGGCTGTCTTTGATTTTGATGAGGAGGGATAAATCGTTCGACAGTGAGTGACATACCTAACGGATGGTCAGGCTAGAAGCAAATGATACTTCACTGCCATTACACGCTATTCTAGATGATCCCATGTGTAAATGAATAAGAGACGATTTTGAACAACTTGAGGACGGAACATTCATTTGAAAAAACGAAATCCCCTATATCAATCAAATTAAATGAAAACTGCAGAACTCATATGAGGAGAGATTCTACATATAGACTTTAGAGATATACTAAAAATATATGACTGTACATAAAAAGATATTCTATTCTTGATGTTGATTTCACCATTGATTAAACAAACGCCAGGATTAGAATGTACATTTTCAGGAGGAACTTAGAATAAATAAAATAAACCATGTGAACACTTTTTTGAAAATCAATTGTAATACCTTTCAAGAATATAAAAGCTGAAACTGTTCATTATTAGTTGGTTATATTCAACATTATCTGTGAAAAAGTGAGGGGTATAGGTGACTCGAAAGTGGTATTGAATTATGGGCACTCATAACGTTAATTAGTTGTAGCTTGTTTAAATCATAACTTGCCGGCCGCGGAAAAGTCCCCACCCGGTTTTAAAATCAAATCGTAACGCGAATGGTTAGTCTCCTATAATTCTAAGTCATATTGTTTGTAGGCAGGAGGTAAAGCTGGAAAAGACTCTGGTAAAGCAAAGGCCAAGGCAATTTCTCGATCACATCGCGCAGGTCTCCAAGTAAGTCGTTTCTTATCTGAACTACATTTATCTTAATCAACTTTCGAATCCATTTTTTGGTGGAATGACATACATTCCCCCGAACGAATTAACTTAAGATTTGTTTCACAAGGTACTGACATAATATTGTATACTTCTGCTTTCTAAATAGAAAAGCATGCGGACTTTGTCCTACTAATTAATAGTGCAACCGTACATTATCAAGGTCTACTTTCACATTGTACACTTAAAGTACTCTTACAATAGAACTAAAATCGTCAATGTAGTTGCTCTTCAAAGTATGGAGTTTGGAGCAGTACATTTATAAGTTGTCATACCTTGACAGACTTGATGGTTATTGGAATTGCCAGCTGTGGTTTAGAAATTAAAGTACTGAATTTTATCAATTCTTCGAAACAAACCTTGTTTATATCCGTAGGCTCTTCCAAGTCTTGCTAGATATCCTTCAATAAGTAGATAAGCCTGCTCTCCTAACAAAACGTCTAGCAGTGTTGCGCCAGAACGCTGAATAAAAGTTTACTTCTAGTGTAATTTACTTTCCTGTACATTGACATACGGTTGTCTGTATCAGCAAGCCAACAATTGGAGGCAAGAGAATTCAGACTTAGTACCTTTTATAGTCGCCTATATATATATATATATATATATATATATATATTAGAGATTTGAACTTGGAATGTCCACCTATTTACTAGGGTGATATTAGTATGAGGAATAAGTTATGTTTTCATCACGAACTGATATCAGCTATAATGCAAAAATGGTATTTGGCTAAATGAGTGGGTAGGTTTCGTGTCCAAATGACAGATCTATCAGTTTAAGTCTGATTGGTTCACACACAAATACATGGTCTCGCCTAATGGAAAAGTCGTATATGTAGTGCAATATAACCCACGATTATCTCACGGACTCTAACTTAAATGTCTATCATACTTGTAAGTTCAGTAGTGTATGGTAATACCACGTACCCTAGCTTCTTTTAGACAATAAGACAAAGTCTAATCAGGGACTAGTAAAACATCCACTTAATAAAAAAACTCAGTCTCGTGAAACAATTTAAATTAGTATCCTATATCTGAAACTAATTTTCACTCAGCTATCTAATCTTTTAAAGTTATAAAACATTAACAATACCTAGTAACCCCGTTTATATAAACTTTCCGTGTTCCTTTACTCTCTAATTGTAGTTTCCTGTTGGTCGTATCCACCGTCATTTAAAAGCACGCACTACTAGTCATGGAAGAGTTGGCGCTACTGCTGCAGTCTATTCGGCAGCTATTCTGGAGTACCTCACTGCAGAAGTTCTCGAACTAGCTGGGAATGCAAGTAAAGACTTGAAAGTCAAACGTATAACACCTCGGCATCTTCAGTTGGCCATTCGTGGAGATGAAGAACTTGATACATTAATCAAGGCAACCATTGCAGGTGGTGGTGTTATCCCCCACATCCACAAATCCCTTATTGGCAAAAAACTACCTCCACCTAAACCCCTTTCGATGTAACAAGATTCATAACATGAATTCTATTGTATTACTTTCCTCACATTTCCATCGATGTTGCATTATTTTTCAAGAGGGCATCTGTCTCCCCTCAAACGTATGAACTCTATTGCATTATATGTGTGAAGTAGATTTATTCAGACTTATTTTATTATCTGTCCATATGTTCATATTTGTAAGTAAATGTCGAAATCACGTTTACATTCTCTTAGTTTCTATTCGTTTGACCATTGACTTGATGTCATTCAGATTGATTCAACAGTTCCTTTTCAACGCATGTATGCTTCCCCAAGGGCTTAATTACAGTTTCGTATAAAAACTGAAACTAGCATAGGGAATTGTTAGTTTGTCTGTTGGTGCCAAAGGTTTGTGTGGGTCCGAATACAACATCATAAGGGCATGTTTGACGCTCAATTAATCAGTCTTCATCATCCTAACAGCCATTTACCCAAGGGTCCAACTCCCCAAAAAGTAAGAATTGAAACCCAGTCCTACTTTAGGATTAGTTAGGTGTGGTGCTTTTTGCATAATGGGAGCTCATCTTTAATATTGGCTTCTGTACATCTGAAGTAGTGAGATGGACTTGACGTCGCTGTTCTAAACTGGGTTGGGATATGGTCCTTGCTAGGTTTTCTGCACGTGATCCGCGGGCTTGGCATACGTCATTTAGCAAATTACCTTCATTTTGAACCTGGGTGTGTTGGTTCTGTTGCGAATATGCCTTGCGACGGTAACTGAGTCATCTGATATTCGCTAAATTGAATGCGACCCAACTAAGCCACAATAGATACTACTTGGGTATGTAGGACAGTCTGTTCAGTCTACAAAAGGTAACACATGAGTAGTTAGTGTTTACATGTTTGCAATCTGGTCGTTTACCTTAAAAATCTCAGGCTAGTCACAAGTTTATTCCTGTCGAGGCTGACATTGCATAAAGCTAATTGGGTAAGAGTTTAACTCAGCGACTGCGGATTAATGTACTATTGGGTCTGCGGTTACTGCCTCGTTAGTTTGACTGGTGTCTAGGCTATCCGTTAATTGAGGTCCGGAAAATCTGACCGATGGGCTCATGCCCTATGTGCCGCCAGTGAGTTCCCCAAATCATATTCAGTGTAATCATGTAAGAAATGTGAGTAACACCAACTGTTTTCGCCTCGTGTTATAAACAACTTGGGTACTTACAATCAGTGACGTTTCTCATCGACATCCTGGTTTCTATGAAGATGATTCCATACGTGAGTTCCAATGATTTCTGGGTAGTCTATAGCAATAACTCTTGAAAATAACCTATGGTTGTTAGCCAGGCCTGTAGTGTGACTACCCGGCAATGTGGCGAGTCGCTATTGTAATTTATTTACGGACTTATCAGTCTTCCAAAATGGAATGAGAATAACACTACATGTTTAAATTGTCAGATTATGAATTATAAGACGCAATCAAAAGATGACCCTATTTACTATAATAACTACAATTTGATTTCGAGTGTCCAAACGAATTAACGTCTGTAGGTAGTGGTTCAGTGGTATTAATTCACAATGTGCTCACTACTAGCTATCCTCAATGAGACTAGTTACTCATGCAATTCCTTATAAATTACATTCCACGCCTATTGAACACGTACCTTGCCCGACCAACTAAGCTTCAGTATCTATAACCTCGAGCGAGCATAGTATCTTATCCAAGCAAGCACTTCATTATTTATTCACAACTCATTGGGTGTACACAAAACATATTTTTTTAACCTGATGCCAGATTTTTCCGAAACCTACTTCATTTGGTGATACCGACTAGGTAACTAAAAAGTAGTATCAACATGTTCGTCCCCATGCATTTTACTAGTCGAATAATATTCCTAATTAATTATAACGTAGATCACCTGCTGATTTATAAAACATTTCAACCCGCCAATTTGACAATTACTTGCAGCTCAGTGCACATGTAGATGGTCATCCGAATACGAAAACATCCTTAGGATAGTTAAATATTAAAATTACCCACTATATCTCCATTCAAATGCTTACAGTAATATACCATGAAACCCGGCCTAATGAAGACAAATTTCTGCTCTTGGTATATCACAATACCTTAAGAACTTAGTATATTAGAAATGATTATTATTATCAGTCACAGAGTATGGCTAGGATAACAAAGTATTCACCCGTTCATGCGACAATCATTTATCTATATGTCTTAACAGTGTCCCGAAGTTACCGAGCAGAACTGAAATAAAGCAACCTCAGAGGATATTTTGAAAGGTTAAGCAAGTAATAAGCTGTTGTAAACTTCTGATCGGTGGGCTGAGGCTCAACCATCTGAGCCGAAGGAAATGGTTTAATTACATCCAGCTTAGCGACGGTATATTGATGAGCTGGAAGTATCTCAACTTGAAATCTCTATACACGCAGTTATATATTGTGAATAATATTATCAGATTTATTCTGCTTCTAGGTTATTCAGAGTAAATCATCTATTTTCTCCCCATTCCAGTTCCAAGAACGACCAAGAGTACGTGCCCAGCTGTATTTCTGTTTCGTAATTCCTTATATTCACAAGCTAAGTTGTGCTGTCTGATATTGCTATTTCGGTGAGCTATAACTGAGATGGGAGAACATATACTTATTTTACTGTTATTCAAACACAATCTGTTACTTATTATTATGTGATCAACTCAATCTATTATATCACCAGACGTTGAACTATAAAAAATTTAGTTACAACATCATGGATACCGACTTTTTTTCTCAAACCTACCGCACTCCATCCCCTTTGTTCTTATCTACTCATAACAATTGATCAGTAACTCGTTTCCAAGCATTGGAAAGAACAAACATTTTTCCCTAAAATATTCACATTATTTAACAAATTATCACTCAACCCTATAAATATCTCTTGAAATAATTTAATATTTAGTTTTTTCCCTTGTCAACAAACTACATTGGTGAGAGCTTGTCTAACATTAAGATATAAAGTGAGGACGAAGGATCCACCTAGGGAAGTTAGAAAACCCTAGTCCGTACCAACAGCACTCATGTGCTCCAAGATCCTGAAGGGACAAATGGCATATGAATCTATTCTTGACCACTGGTTAACATGGGATCACATCTAACTTTGCTCCATCGACTTGTGGATTAGACCTTTGAGTTAAAGGTTCGAGGGGTGGCCTCCTAAAAAAGCCAACAGCTTTGGTTTAGGCACCGAGAGAGTACCCCAGCTCACGCACAAATTTAACAATAACTACTTTGTGTGACACATTTATTTTGGTGCCCCTTTGTACCAATGTTTATGTGTTCAAATAAACAAATAAGATTCTATAAAGTATTTACAGTAGTTTTTCAAAAAAGAAATAACTATTACCATTATCTCTAGATTGTGAGCAATTGAAGGAAACCTGGATAATATTAACACAGACGATATTATATATTTTTGTATGAAACATCGTACAACAATAACAATATTTGTCAGCAATTGTTTGATGTTCAAAAATGCTAACAAAATTGAGAATAAATGATGTACACAGGGGATTAATTAAAAGTCATTTGAAAGGAGTAGTATATATATATATATATATATATATATATATATATATATATATATATATATATCTGTACAATGATATTTGATATGAACACCTATTTGACAGGATAGATTCGATTATGAAATTGAAGATGTTCCAATTGACAGAGATGAATTACTATGAATACTTGCATCAATTGATGTTGAGTTTAGATTCATAGCCTTTAAGAAAATAACAAAGAGAAAATGGGAAGCATCGAGTTTATTTAGGTGATAAGGATTAAAGTTTATTTAACATTCTGCTTATTACTTGTATATAAAATTATGTATCATCAGTCAGTCAGTCACAACGTAGGACTTCATACGTACGTACATCAGTTCGAGTTGCCATACCAAATTAGCACAGAGATGCAGTTGTCGATTCATATCTCATAGTGGTAGAAGTATTAAGAATATAAGCATTATGTAAAAGATTAGGGTTTGAAGATGTTATTGGAGGAGTATAATCCAGTGAAATAAATTTCAAAAGAGAAAAAAGATAGGGATATGAAGAATTCAGAAGATTAGAATTTGGTAGAACACAAAGAGTGGATGTACCTTCGCCATTGCAAACGATTTTGAGCCATGTCATTCAAGGTTTCATCATCAGATTTCGGCTAGGCAGCCAGTGAAAACTAGGAATCATTTGATAGTTTTTGTGCCCTAACATGACGCATCTCCACAGTATACCCCAATAAATTCACCGGAGATAGAATTTACGATCATCAAGCACTAATACGAACGCTTAACAACCAGACCACTGATTTGGAATCCAGTAGTTCAAATTCCTAACCCCAATTAACTCGTTATATTTCTGATGTTATTAGGAAACGAGTATAGATAAAATTGGAACTTCTGAAAGCATTTTTTTATATTATCGTTACATACAGTCTTAGTATATAGTCTGTATGTAACTGCATTATTGTATTTCTAGATTCTCCTTATTGAAAAATTCCAGTGGACCTATTAACTATTATGCGTTTTACCATTCATAAATTACTAATAGGTAATTATGTACTGATTGTTTCGCTATCTGGCACTTATGGCCTGACAGTGTTTAATGCATGACTTGTGATTTACGTATATAATCTAACCATTGTTTGAGATAGGTACTGTGCTAGCTGGCTGGGATGAATGATTGAATTATAATGGTAACAACAGAAGCTTATTTGCAGACTTCTCTTGAGGCTCAAGGCCAGGAATGAAGGAAGGTCCACGGATAGGCGACCAATAGAAGTGTAGCTTACATTAGCTCAATGTTCATTATGCCAGCCAGAATTTATCATTCCTCTAAGATAAGGAAGCTAGGCTATAGTTGAGAAAGCAGAAGCGGGGTAAAAAAATGTGATCGGAAATTTTGATTGGCAAATTTAACTCGTGGAACCGGTCAGCGTTCCAAGGCGCACCAGTTCAACCATTATTCCCTAGCATCAATGATATTTATATAACACTTAAAATAGTACGACAAAACATCTGTCCAGCATTTTCTGGTTCCCACTAATCGTCTAACCAAAACCAGTTTTTGGTGAGAAACTTCAAACTCAACAACCTGCATAACACCTAGCAACAATTATTATTTGCAGTTAAACAACGAAATGGAATTTACCATGAAAAACTTATGAGACAAATTTAACCTTCACTATAAACAGTTAAAGATACAATAAGCAATAATTGGGCTTAAAAATGTAGTTTGTGGTGTACTTATGTGTTTATTTTGACAGACATAAGTAATATGTAATACCGATCAGAAGTTGAATGCCTGTCGAAAGAAGGTCGATGAGATTGAACTGAAGAAAACAGAAAGAGAAATATAAAGGGATTGAGAAATGGAGGAATAGTGAAGCATGTAAAGGATAATTGACGTATGATTTGCAAGTGAAGTATTTGATGTACGGTTTTGCTATTTTATGATAGAACTCTGTAATTTTGCATTAAAGAATAAACTACTTGTTCGCACCTGAGTTCTCATTCACTATAGTTCTACTGGTTGATCATGAATAAACCTAGAAAGTTTAACACCTGAAACTGCCAAATTTTTTCTATAAAACGTCTGTTTCTGTTATTGTTGTTGTGATAAACATTCTGTGTACTATTGTGTGTAGTCTATCAGTGCTGACTAGTTGCCCTATCTGCTTTGCATCAACAAATCATTTTCCTTCATAAATGATGATCACTTGACCACATAATTCACATCAACTCGGAAAAAACATGATTAATTAAATATTGTAAGTAAGTAATAGACAATGAATATGGAATGATAACCGCGTAATATCAAAACTTTAGAGTAAACAGAAATGTATAACATTTGATTGCATTTTATAGTTTAGAGATTTTGTACATGTCAAGAAATCCAAAGTTGCTTTATCTGTTTTGGTGTGCATTTGTGTGTTTGTGCAGATACTGTTGAAGAGTCTCAAACTGGAACAAGACAACTGTTGAGTACTTCTTCATTTTCAATAATCATACACATATAGTGATATTGATCCGTAGTGAGAATACACTTCAGGATGAACATTATTCATATAACCGAAATAATTATATGTTCCATAAAATTTATATCAAAGAAATACTTGCTGAAAATATCCTAATAAATAAGTTTGCTGGCAATAAATATAAACACATTGCCAAATATATACAGCTAAATTGACGAATATTTGGATCAAGTGTTTCATTAGATTTTTGGGTAAAAACGGGCATTTCAGTGTTAACTAAAAACATCCTATAAATACTAATCTAGACTTAAATGACATTGTCTCAGATAGGGAAAAAAAGAGATTGGATCATACTATACTTTATACTATATTATGAACATTAAAAATTTACTCAAGTAGATTAAACACTATTACATTTTATATGCCGCTAACAATAGTCAGTCAGCTACAACGTAGGACCAGGCACATTTATGCATCCGTCCAAGCTGCATCGACCACTAACAACAATAAGCCTATTAAACTTGATTCTTCTCTCTCAGAAGATCGGATAATTATTTTCATAGATATGGCTCACGCGACTATATAATTAAAACATACGATAGTAAATTACCATAATTTATAAATTCTATTATGTACATAATTAGAAACTGTTTGCAACAAAATTTGTGAGCAAGAAATTCGTACAATAAGAGAATAGTTACTCATAAGTAATATACTTGGAATACACAAACTTGCAAAGCTCATTATCATGTTAATGAGTAGTAGATCCATCTCTTCACTAATGGTACTGTTAATATATACCGATTAACAAAATACTGAAATTCTTGACAAAGATAAATGCAGTTTCTAGACGTAAAAACAATTCTGTCCTTTTACAATACTTGTCTAATATTTAATAGAAATATTTTACAATGACCTTATAATGTATATACAATCTTAGTTGATTGTGGTCTCGCTGGAGGTGGATAGGATATATTGAGGAAATCTTTAAACCGCATCACGAAGCAAACTCTAACTTAGGGTCATGAAGAGAAATGGAAAAGAGGAAGACCAAGGAACACAATGCGTTGAGAATTCGAAGCAGACATCAACAGAATAAATAGAATCTGGAAAGGAATGGCCCAGGAAAGAGTTCGATAAAGAATCCTGGTGGGGAGCCTATGTTTATCCATAAGGGGAAAAAGGTGTAATTAAGTCAGTAAGTAATTTCATATGTATATTCAGTTTGATTTAACCAATTATCTAATCTTAGATTGTTTTGATTTGAGATTTAGAAAAAATGGATATTACTGCGACGCATCAATGGTATGAAAATAAACAGTACATAAGTTGGTGCGTCTACAATAAGCAGAGTAAAAAACATGACGCACACGCACAAGACTTGGAGATGCTCATAGTATCCTTTTCATCCTTATCATCTTGCAAGGAATGAAAGTTCACAAACTCAACTTATTACAGCGTTACTCTAAGACAAAGAAATAATCACTTGGTCTTATTAATAGGTATGCTACTGAAATATTTGACACTGACGTCTTGGCTGCTGCATGAAGCCCTAGACTACTTTTACACTTCAACTGGAACATTAAAAAATAGACATGAAATGTAAGAGCTATTAACTTCTAGGTTAGTGATCTATGGATAATTCATTGTATGTACAGAGTTCCATATGACTTTATCCTTTTAAAAACTTTCTGGAAGCATACGAAATATAGTAAAGGTATAGCTAATTATCCAATTAAAAAGATAACACAAAAATTATACCTGTATAGCAGCTTGTCGTACTAGTTCTAAATCTGAAAAATCTTCAAGATCATAAGAATCAGTGACAGTAGTATTCGATTCAATGTCTTGATGAGTTCCTAATATGTTTGAAGTATTACCATAGGACGACCGTTGTAATATATTATTCATTAATATTATTTGATTATTATTTTCATTTTTATCAAAATGTTTATTATCACAATGTAAAGTATGATGTAGTTCTGATAGTTTAGAAAGTTCTGTAGTAGACATTTTAGCAAATGAAGATAACGTTTTATCTTCTTCATATTCATTAAATCTGCTCAATTCATAAGAAGATTTCTTATTTTGTTCTTCATTGATACTATTCAATTGAACAGTATTGGTTAACAAATGATTGTTTGAATTGATCCTATCGAAATAATAATAGTAATAGGTTTAAAGCATTTATATCCATTTCTTCTTCGTATTTTAAACATTATAGAATAGTATTATAAGCACAGATGGATAGTGGCTAGCAGTGGAATCCAGGACGCGCGTTTTGTTCTATTTGGGCTATCTAATTTTAGACTATATATATTATATTATTATATTATATATACTTAAGATTTTCGCTAGTGATCTACAAATCTTGAAACGTAAACCCCTTCAAAACAGTCACTCCCGGTAAACAACCAAAAAGAAGAATCTTACTTAAAGAGTTTCTAGCGATCATTTAATTCGGTAAAGGGTCTAAGGAATTTTTACCCCGAAATAATACCAAATGTTAATAAATTTTAAAATAAAAGAGCAGTGGACAACTCTTCAAATCTACTTTAAAACTATTAAGTAGTAAATAGACATGATCCCACATAAAATCAGTAGTCATATTAAACGCAATAGGTTTTTATCAGAAGGGGATTTTGTGGAGATTTTAGTAACTTTATAGTTAAAATCATGGGCCAATTGGAGCTAGATCACCATGGAAAACCTGGAAGTACTGTACGGCCGTTTCGTCCTAGTGTAGGACTCCTCAGCAGTGCGAATCAACAATCCCGCCCCGCGAGATTCGAACTATGAAATCAAAATACAAAAGGTGATATTTCCAATTGAAGTTAATAATAGTTATGTCCATGACGAACCAATCAAATCGTTACTTAGGCGCCCATCACGTCAATGTGGTCTGATGTGTCTGTAGACTATTCCTGGTGCATGTAACCTGCCAATTGAAGGGCATTATAATCCAATTATATGAGTATGATTCATTATTTTTTCATTACGATAAGACAAGTAATACTGGTCAATATGTTTGTGCGTTTCACTTAATGACCATAATTCCTTTAATTATTGTACTAATCAAATTGTTAGTCTTACGTTTAGAAACAGATAAAGTTTAAAGTTGTCCCTGTTCTGACTATAGCTTTCACGTAGACCCTGGGGGTCATCAGTATCACGTTCACAATTCTAGTAGAATACCTGTAAGACAAATTAAATCCCACAGTTGATTTTACAATTTTATGCACTAATGATCCAATATATCATAAGTACATATTTGTCTTCTTTTCGGATCTGTCGGTTGATATGTTAAGCCCATATACCTTATTATAGCTTCAGGACAAGCTAATTTATCTACCCATCATGAGTCACGTTTTGACTTTGTTAATTATTCACTTATCAAGCCTGACTATTTTTTTATATGAGCGTATGTGTGTATACACTTCTTATCCTATTCATCACATATCTGCAACTTATTCTTGTCTGACTATAGATATTCATTAACGCTTGATAAAAGCGAGTTAGCTTATCCGCCATCTCCAATGTGCTTCGCTCACTTCTATTCTCGCTTCATAACTCTGATTTCCTGTCTAGATCAATGAGTGTACAAAATATATGTATTCGTAATCCATTTTCGTATTTGACTTATTTAATTCCGTTATTCACCAACTCGGATTAAATCATGTTTTATATACGAGGATAGACAGGATGTATATTTTGACAACAATCATTCATACGATCTCGATTGTAGTCATATTCAGGCCCAACACCGCTAATTACAGATTATTGTTACTATTAGAAAACTCGATCATCAGTTTACATACTTGCACGTATTATCTTCCATATGATTTTGTTCAATCATATTATTAGGCAGTTGAATACAACTTGAATCATTGTTATCATCACTTTCCTTTGGATCCAATAGATTGACAGTATTTTCTGTTAACTCTTGTCTTTGATCATGATAAATATCTTGAATATCAGTTTGAGTATAATTAGAAGAAAATTCAATAGATTTATAAGTAGAATTTGTTAATTTAAGTGAAATGGATTCTTTCCAAGCTTTTAATTCTTGAACCTAAATATTCATTAGGTAAATTAGAAAATAATAAAAAGTATATAACTCATTTATATCACAATAACAACATTGAATGAATAAAAGACATTGACTAAATAAAGGAATTCACTTCAGTTTATTTGATATATGATATAGTAGTGGAATTCACACTGAGTGTTACGTTTTCGTCGAGTTTCATCAGTTGAGTATTGCTTCCAGACTGGCCTGTGTCAACACCTGAATTAAGGATAAGGAGTGAAGTAGTCGAATGCGTCGACAATTTCACTTACCTTGGAAGTCTGAGCAGCCCTGATGGGTTGGTGTCTGACGAAATCTCTGCACGAATTCATAAAGCTCGTTTGGCTTTTGCCAACTTACGTCACCTATGGCGAAGACGAGATATCCGTCTATCAATTAAGGGACGAGTATACTGCGCAGCAGTTCGCTCTGTTCTACTTTACGGCTGGCCATTAAGAGTAGAAGATACTCGTAGGTTACTAGTATTTGACCACAGATGCCTTAGAAATATTGCTCGCATCTGCTGGGATCACCGGGTAAGTAATATTGAGGTTAGACACAGGGTAAATCAGTGGATGAGGTAATGCATCTTCATCGACTGAGATGGTTAGGCCACGTGTTACGTATACCTGAACACCGATTACCACGACGCGCTATGCTGAATAGTGTAGGGGATGGTTGGAAGAAAGTTAGGGGTGGCCAAGCCAAAACGTAGCATCAGTGCTTGAAGTCACTAACTTCTAGTCTGAGCCATATTAGCAGATGCAGAATACTCGGTTGCGGTCCGCGTGACTATCGTAACCAATGGTTGGAGATTCTAGGTGACATGGCTCTGAATCGATCACAATAACGCAGGTGTGTACACTCCTTATCTTCCCTTAAGCCTTGAGATTAAATTTGCTTCATATCTGTCTTTCTTCCTGTACTATATCCTTATATACAGTCTTTCTTTTATATATTAACACCACTAAATTAACTACTTCTATGAATTCGGTGTTCATCTTGTTGTGCTAGCGAGGTATGGTAACTTAGACCGATACAAATATATGCCTGGTCCTATGTTGTAGCTGACTGACTGACAATATCATGTATGTCAGGTACTTTTTATTGACGATCGAATTCTATCGATCAAGTTGCAATACAATCGCTAGTCTAAGTGACTTCAAATCGTATGCACTATGTTGAAAGCAGTGGATAGTAAACACTAGACCTAGGTTTCGTGCTACTTGGCACTCGTCAGCCAGGCATATCTTTAATCCTGGGGAAACTGATGCTCCCTAGTGTAATAAGTCATTAACCAGTGATCAATAAAATATAAAAACATCTCAGTCCTGCAGGCGTTCTTTCGATACCCGGATAGCTCATTGATAGCATTACTATGAAGCTGGGTGATAAGGAATTGAATCTTCTAGGGAACATTATCTTCCTCTTGATTACAAGCACACCTCGCCTACGAGTGCCAAATAGCATGAAACATAGGTCCACGGTTTTCTGTGGACAACTCCCAAACACCATCTTACAGTTTGTTCAATACACAAAGTACACTAATCATTTCCACTTTACTGCAGTCAGTCTGGATATGTAAATAAATTTGTCTTACTACTTTAGACAAATTAAATCTCTAACAATAAATAATAATGTAGTTTTACAATGTAGTTTTCACAAATAATCTTCAATATTTGGAAACTTATTGAAAAGATCCTAAACTAATGGTTATTTGCTGATCTTCATTTACGAATACTGTTCATATGAACAGTGAAGCAGAGCGAACGAAGTTATTTTCAATGATAAATCATTATAATAATTTTTATATGAACTGAGATATTGTTTGACAACTCGAACTGAAGCAGGTAGTATTTTGATATGAGAAGTCACTCCACGTTCCTTCGATCTCAAGGTTTAAAAAATAAGACAGTGTAGCAATATTATACAGCCAGGTCCCCTGGTTATCAAAATAGGTTCATATTGCTATTAATTCCCATAGGATCTTGGAGTCAATGTACATCATTGTATTGGTCTTAGAGTTTTACAACTTATTTAGTTGGATCCTCCAGATCCACCAAAACTGTTTAGACGAAAGAAGTTCAATTTTTATCCTCATTCACAAAATAAACCAGTAACATGAAAATAATAAATATTTACCCCCTGAGAGAAAAGTGAGAATATTAAAACATCTCACTGGGAACATTGACTTTCCCCATCTTCAACCATATCAGGCCATTTGAAGGTCTTGATTTCAGCTAGAAATTATCAATAGCTCCAAGTTTTTTTTCTAAATATAAAGTCGGTTATAATCAGAAGAGGTTTTGTGGATATTATAGTAATTTTAATAGTTGAGATCATGAGTCAATTGAAGCTAGATCACCATAGAAAACCTAGAAGCACTGGACGGCCGTTTCGTCCCATTGTGGGATTCCTCAGCAGTGCGCATCCACGATCCCGCCTCGCGAGATTCGAACCCAGGACCTACCAGTCTCCATTATTTTTTATCATTTTTATAAGATTTGCAGTGATATTCTTGAATTATTTACCTCAAAATACACCAATAATAATAATAATAATATATAAAAATTGCTAGAAAATAAGTTAACTTACTTCTTTTAATAAAAATTGAATAGAATTGGAATGTAATTGATTCAATTTAGATTCAGCTTCATTAGATTTATATTGAGTTTGTAATTGTTTTTGTAAAAATATAACATGATCTTGTAATAGTTTAGTTTGATTACCACATGTTGGACAATAATTAGATAATGATGTTGTTGTCACAGAAGATGTTGAAGATAATAATGTTATTGGATTAGAATTATGACTACATTTGTTAATTAATGGATTATCTAATGTAGTAGTTACTACGTTATAACGATCAGCTTTATAAAAGGAATAGATTATATATATTATAAGATATAGTGATAATGACAGAAAATCAGAAGAAATGAACATGGGGATTATATATATACAGTAGGGTAAAAGGTTGTTTTGTACCCAGAACAACTTATCAGCCGAAAAGGAAACATTGTGAAATTATAAAGCTATTTGTAATAAAATGAAGGAAAATTACTTTGGAATAATGGTTTTAATACGACCAATTGACTCATATATGTTAAATTATTCATGATGGTAGCAAAAGAAAAAAGTTAAATTTATATATTGTGACATAGGTTAGAGTTGTGAGTCAGATTTATAACCCTATAAGGTTTATATCATTAATCGACATTAGCTATGACCTAAGTCTCCATATATAAATTTAGCTTTTTTCTTAAATAAGAATAATATATTTGTAAAATCTCAGCGAATAAATTTGAAGTAAATCCAACATTTCGCCTGACAATCTGGTCCAAGCTTTTTCAAGGAAATATAATCAAACATCCTTATTCGGTAATTTTATTGTTTGATTATATTTCCTTGAAAAAGCATGGATCAGATTGCCAGGCGAAACGTTGGATTGACTTCAAATTAAAACCATATTCTCAGTACATCAGATAAACGCCCTAAAATGCCTTAGTACGGCTGAAAGTGGGGAGATTCCGCTCTCCCTCTTGAAATGCTCTCACATGGCCACGCGTATATAGCCTCTGACAGGGAAGTCCTAATAACTACCTTCTCACCACTGGGGTGTCGTTTACGACATCGAGATGACGAAAAGCGAATGTCCGACGCTTTAACCGGGTTATTGGACACTGCAAGTCCACCTAGGGGAGTTAGAAAACCCTGATTCCAAACTAATGGTGCACATGGGCTCCAGTATCCTGGGGGAACAAATGGCGTATGAATCAATCGAAAAAAGTAAAACTTCATTATCTGAACCAGTTGAATACAAGGCAGTTCAGTTATTTGAGTAGACAACCGAAGGTAAGAACCAGATTAGGACATATATTACGTATTCTTAACAATATCCTACCTAGAAATATTAAATTAACTGAAATATAGGTAAGTTGGAAAAAATTTAACCAAAATAAGTCCTCGGATAAAAAAGCATGTTAGACGCAGATTACTTGATTATGGTGCACGAGACAAATACAATCAGTAAATAATGGCGTTGAGCGGCATGGCTCATAAGCAGTGACAGTAGTACATGTACACTTATATTTTATATTGATGTGAACTTAGAAATAAAGAAGACATGACAAACAATGGAAGCTACTTTTAAGGATGTCATTCCCCTTAATGCAGAGTTTTTAAAATACTGACGTTAAGTTTTTTCCCTAGTCTATTCTACAAACTATGAGCTTTCGTTTGATGTATGATTCACTGCCATATCCTTTCTGTTTTAAAGCTATTGTAATTTAAATGTAACCTTTTGTACTATATTTTTCTGCCCTAATGTCCAGTTTTGGACACAACTGTATTATTCTAATTGTTTATGCTTTGTGGTCGTTTATCATTTATTTATTCATGTATCTTTTTACACCACTCTGAATTGAAAATCAGGAATAAATCAAGTAGTGTGTTCTCTCTCGCATGTCAACCAATTAGGTGATGGGATAGTTTGTGTCTCCACCCAAGGACATTAGTCTCCACTCGTACTCATGCATTTCTGACCTCAAGGTTAAACCACTTAGCCTATCATATCAAGACCTTAACCTAGATAAGTTTCCTCCTTTATATTATTAGGTAGACAGACCAAGGACGTAGCACATATTGATCTAAATCTTGAGTTCTAGTATTCATTCATGCAAACTGCTTAATTGTCTTCTCAAACAATATTCTCAGTGTTCAGTTTTTCGCACGATCTCTCTACTACATGATTTAGATCCCTTTAGTGTTCATCTGATTAATTTTAATTCGTTCTATTAATGTAATGTGGTGAATTGGGCCAAAACATAAATTTACCAGACTCTACATTGGTTACAACTGACTAGGTATGGGAATTCTTAGGAGTGAGTTTAATGAAACAAGTTAAATAGTAAGAATTATTTATCTTTTTTTTCAAACTTATTACTAAATTAAACAATAGAAACTATATTTTAATCAAAACATTTAAAAAATCAAACCTACTGGCTACTGAATTCGATTCTACTAGATTATTATCATTAACGTCATTGTTAACGACTAATTTAGAATCTTCATTTACTTCGACCGATTCTCCTGACTGTCTGTTAAAGTATAGAATTAAAAAAAATAAAATGAAAATTATTAAACATTGAATTTAACCCTATTTGTAAATAGAGAATACTTGGATTAGGGGTCCTTGTGATTATCAGTATCAATGGTTAGAGACGATGGATCAAATGGCTCATAAGTACAACTATCTGTGTTCATATTTGTCAATACGTAACTACACGAAAAGTAACAATACCTTTCGAATTGCTTAAAGTGAAAGCAAAAGGCGGTCTGCTTAAACATCTGGGCTACCTGTTCATGCCATCTAGTTAACTATATTTTGTTTGTTTCAACAGATCATTATATCAATTAATTGCACAACCTATTCAGGTGCGTTTGTGAAACCTTCACAACGTTTCGTTGTACAAGTTAGAAAAGACAACAATCAGAGACGTTTTGGCTATTGAGAATATACATCGAAAAGAATGTACAGTATTCAGATGTTGATTCTTAAACTGTTAACATCTAATTAGTGATCACTCAATATTTATCGTCAGGATTGATCAAGAAATAAGAAAAGGGAAACTTGTTGAAATACTTTGCCCTGAGAATTCTATATTGTACCAAAAATAAATTAATCTCATCGTTATTTCATTTGTGTATATTAAAAATATTCGGTTCATTTAAAAAGAACACTATCAATAAGGAAATATCAGAGGTATGAACATCTCAACGATAGGATGACTAATATTTTAAATATACCAGCCGATGAAGTTTATAACAGAAACTGGACTAAGTTGCAGTTTTGTAACCCGTTGATCGGATTCTGATTTGATCGTATGATGATGTTAATCTAAAAGAGATGCTCACTACTCTCATATTTCATTATTGACCTAATTTCCGTTAACGAATAATAGAATAAGTGAAATATAAGAACAAATTTCGGATACGTATATTTCGTACACTCGTCAACTTAGACAGACAATCAGAGAAACGAAACGAAGAAGCTGCAACCTTCTTTTACTTTCTACATAAAGAATGGTTTTAACTTTCTTAACTGAAAGAGTCTTCTGGTTGTACATTTCAGTCCGCCTTATCTTTTCATCCCTTCTCTTCCTACTTTCATTATTTTGTGTGGCGCATATGTACTTGGTGCCCTTTTGTACCAATATATATGTGTTTAAATAAATAAATAAATAAAGACTATAAAAAGCAAACATAGCAACCCCGTTTGATAAAGCGTGACTTAATGTATGTAGTCAAACAAAAAAATTAGTTACAGATATGTAAATGAATAGGATAAGCGATGAGCACACATGTACTCATATTTTAAAAAAGTCAAGGTTAATAAACGAATAAATTGACAAGGTCAAAATGTGAATCAAAAAGAATAAAAATCGATTGGTCTGTCCGGAAACTAGAATAATCCATGTGGGCCTGACATAATACTAGATGCTAAAAAACAACCAAAAATCACTAGGACGTTGCTTTAATCTAGTAGGGAACACCTTAATATAGAGCAGATTCACAACTAGGACAAAACAGATGTCCAGTAATTTCTGATTTTCAGTGATTGTCTAACTAAGGTCAGTTCATGGTATAAACTATAAAACTCAACAATCTTTATACCCTTTCATTCTAATAATTCAAAATATCATAGACGACAAACAAACAGATAAGTGGGAAAGTGAAAACATAAAAAATGATGATTGGTTAATTGAAATTGAAAAGTGTTGAATAGTTACAGGTACGTGAATGATAATGTAATGGAAATCTCTGCTTCATAAAACTTTACTGACATTTTTACGGATAAGTAAATTCTTACGAGGTATATTAATTAGAATTTTGCAGTTCTTCATTAAAAACGCGATGAGAAGTATCGACAAGCTGTACAATAAAAATGTTTTTATCTTCCAAAATGCAGCTGGTTTGAATCACACATTTATTTACTTATTTAAACACATAAACATCGGTACAAGGAGGCGACAAATATATATGCACCACATGAATCATATGGTTTGTGTGAGGGCCACAATACTGTCCTGGCACCCAAACTGAATCAGGTGGTTTTCTTAGGAGGCCACTCCCCAAGCCTTTAAACCTAGAAATCTAATCCATAGGGCAGTGGAGCAACGTTAGTTGATGGAGCCCCATGGTAGCCGGTGACCAACAACAGGTTCATACACCATTTTTTCCCTCAGGATCGTAAAAACTCACATGGACCCATTAGCTTGAAATAAAAGTTTTCCAACTCTCCTAGGTAGATTCTCTAAAACCTACCTATTAAATAATCCAGTTTACTAGATAATTTAAAACAATAGTAATTACACTTAATGTGTGATTCAACGTTGAATATATAAAACTTGGGTCTTAGCAACTATGTGTATAATTTTTTTTTATTATTAATTAATGGCTTTATTCAATATTATAATCTGGTACAATATAGAATTCTCAGCACGAGTTATTTCAACAAGTTTTTTTTACCAAATAAACAAAACAAAAAAAACAGTAGCTACTGCGCCACCACAGGTCTTTTTATTGTTTGATCGATCCTGACGATAGATATTAAAATCACGTAATGATACCAAGCAATCATCCTGTAAGTCAGTTAACCAAGATTCTTGAATTGTGATGACACCACAATTACGATACATGTTTTGACTTAGCAGAAATTGGAGATAGTCCACCTTGTTAATTAGAGATCGACAGTTAGAGTTAAGCAGCTCGGGAATCGACATTTGATTAATGTTTATTCTCTCTAAAGCATATTGCCAAACACCACGATGTCTTTTATTGTGCTTGTTTGTAATTTTTGCAGCGAAAGGACGTAAGCTTTTCATAAACGCGCCTGTATAGGTTATGCGATCAAGAGACATAATGATAAGTTAAAACAAATTTAAAAAACCCAGATAACTTGTTGAAATATTTAGATGGTAGAAACAGGTAGCCCAGGGATTCAAGCAGGCCGCCAATGCTAGATTATATTATAATTATTTATTTATTTAAACACAAAAATATTGGTACAAGGAAACACCGAATACATATGCGCCTCACAAATCTCATTCGATTTGTGTGAGGGCTGTGATACTGCCCAGGTGCCCAGATTGAAGCAGGTGGTTTTCTTAGGGGGCCACACCCCGAGCCATCGACCTGAATATCTGATCCACAAGGCAGTGGAGCATCGTGAGGAGATGCAGTCCCATGGTAGCCGGTGATCAAAGGTTGATTCGTACACCATTTGTTCCCTCAGGATACTGGAGCCCATGTGCACCATTGGTTTGGAATCAGGGTTTTCCAACTCCCATAGGTAGACCCTCCATGTCCACCAACCCGGTTAAAGCGCCGGACATTCGCTTTTCGTCCTCTCACTTTCGTACACAACACCCCCGCCACGAGAAGGCAGTGAGTAGGACTTCCCTGGCAGAGGCTATATATTCGCTGGCCATATGAGAGTATTTCGAGAGGTAGAGCGGACTCTGCCTACTCTCGGCCGTACCAGGGCACTTGGGAGCCCTGATTATATTGCGTTAATATATTACATAGGTTTGATAATCTTTTCATCTTCTCATTATTTTTTGTCTGTTTTCAAACTTTAATTCACTAATTCAAGTAAAATTTTAAAGTGGTCTACTTATATCCTTAGGAGTAGTATATGGTGATGGTCAGACAGAATGTATTTTGGCAGAACACCGATAAGGAAAGAACTGAAATAAAGCGCAGTTGATAGGGTAATGAATAACCAATGAAATAAGAGAAGATGGATTGATATTTGCAGAAGGAACAATGAAGATTGAGACAGTTGATTGTTATTTTGCAAATTAACTATTTGCCATATGGTTATCAGATAGTTATAAGATAGTTTGTAATTCATGCTTAAATACATTCCATTGCCCCCAGTTGTGTTCTGTTCACTACAAAATTATCACAAGACCAACCACAACAACAACAAAAACTTACTGTTTAATGTTAGTATCGAAAATTTCCTTTTGTTGATCTTTTGTAATGGACTTATGAACTTTCATAGATTGTGTATTAATCTTATGTTTTAAATTAATCAGACAATTTAAATCCATATCATCTGAGACTTCTTTAAGTAGTATATCTTTTTCATCAATATTATTATTATTATTATCAAGGGTAGTAATATTACCCTCTTTGGATTGTTCAACACCGTTTGGTTTATCTATAAGTTCAATGAATCTACTACTTTGAACTGTTGTTTCTGTTGTTATGACATCTTCATCGTCATCATCGATATTATCATCATCTTCTTCGTTTTCTTCACCATCATGAATTAAATGTACACCATTTATGAAACCTAATGTTTCAAATTTTATATCTTCTTTAGACTTTATGCTATGTATAGAATTTGTCAAAGAATTTGAAGGTGTTGGCGATTTAGAATACATTGATCTGAAGAAAAAAAATGAAGAAAAATCTTGAACATGTAGAAGGAATCTAAGATGTAATTTAGTTAGATATCGCTAAGTAATATCCAGGATTAAAAACTCAATATATATATAGGATATGGTAGTTGCCAAAGTTATAATCCGTTTACTTTCTGACTAATTTTCATTCCAGCATCTGAGTAACATTACTAAGGAGTACATCTATTCACTGGTTGATCCACACTTATTTTACGCAGCTAGTAAAAAGTGAATAATCATTAGAACTTGGTTGTTAAATTAAAACAAATCTCATCAACAAAGCTATGGGACATTAGATATTCGGACGTAGTCAGCGAGAAACTTTTGACCTTAGATTCATCTTAGTAGGACTTATCAGCAAGATTCGCCTATGACATTGGGGCAATTGATGTTTTCACGAACGTTATTCACTCAACTACATAGTTTGAGACGTTATCACTGAATTATTTGCGCTGTGAATGACCTGTGAGAGCTGCAGGCGATAATGAGTCATTTAAAGTAGAGGTCATATTGTAAACAAACAGATAGAATTCGACCAGCATATCATTGGTTATCGCTCATGGACTGATCGATGTACAATAATTAGAATATGAAGGAGCAGAATATAATATGCAAAAGAAACAAATATTAAGCAAATAACCGATGTTGGCAAGTTGATTCAGTCAATGCAAATTATCTTAGAACTGATTTTTTTTAATAATTCAATCCAATAAACCAAAACATCTTTAGGCACACAGCTATAAGTATCACTTCCAGGATTTTATGGGATAAATAAAAATTTGGTAGTGATGTGATTGACTATTGAACCGAAACATGCTATTAGATTCAAACTACTTGGTTGGTGTCCGCGTGACAACCGCAATCACCGGGTGGAGACTTTGGTGATATGTCTCAAAATCAATTTGTGATGACGTAGATGAATTTACCCTTTATCTTCCTACCAATGTTCAGTTTTAGTACTTTCATATACATTCTTCCACTCTGTCTCCTTGAACCTTCTTAACAATCTCCAGTAAGTTTTTATCATTGTCACTGCCACTAGATTATTCAGATCTTTTTGGCTACATATCTAGTTGATTTCATCATGTCATCCTAACGTACTATGGCAACGGGCTAATATATACACATGTCCCAGAACCTACTTTAATGATAATTGACTTATTGATCGAGTGATTTGACACAAATACACATACATCTATACTCGATTTTTGCCTAAATATTGAACAAAAAATAAAATACTTACTGGTGTAAAGGAATGAAATTCCCAGAAGATAATAAACTATCACTAGGTGATAATTTCAATGATAACTTTTTGTCAATACTTTGCCAGTCTTTGGCATTACTTAACATATGATGAACTGCATTTGAATGAGTTTTTGCCTTATATCCTGTTTCGAATGTCTCTTCTATGTTATTAGTGGTATTTGATACATTTAAAGGTAAATAGACTGAATCTGATGACAACAAATTACTAGATGATGTAACAAGTTGATCATTACAGTATGAATTCATTCTTGGTAGTTCATCAGTTAATTTTATTTTGAACTTTCCTTCTTTGATTTCAGGTAAAACTTGTCGTGGTGAATTAGTCGACATTTTTAATAATGGTTGAGGGTTAGCCATAGGATATGATGTAGATGATGATGATGATGTTTCATGTGTAATAAACAGACTTTTATTATCATTAATATTATTGATATTTAATTTCGGATTAGCAGGACATGATGAGTAGGATAAACTAGACATATCGACGCTTTCTGTACTTTTAGTTTTATTATTGCATTTATTTTGATTTAAAGGAATATTACCATTATTTAGAATAGATGAAGCCATAGAATTATTATTGAGTAGATAATTGTTTGCAGTAGGGTTAATAGTTGTAATAACAGACGGTGAAATCGATTGAGACATATGATTACGATCTCCATTTGAACAAGACTAAAATAGAATAGGGAAATTTTAGTACAGAAAACTATAAGTAGATAAGGTAAAGTAAATTATCTGATTAAGTTAACAACTTGCATTTACTAGACATGATCTACGATAATCTTTGCTACATAAGATGAATATTTTAAAAGAATCAGTAATTCGTATGAAGTGATTTAGCAGGAAGACAACATTTTCAGCTGTTACCCGATGAGTATTTAAAAGAGGATACCAACGAACATTACTAAAACAATCAATAACATTAAAATCCTGCAATTTTTGTCTGTCTATCTAAATCTTAATCGGATGGAATAGCTTCAACATACTAGATATGAGGAAAAATCTTATTGGACCTTTGAATGCTGTATAACCATCCATCGTTTAGGAATTGAATATGAAAATGTTAAAAATAAATTGAATGGTGGCCGAGTGAATAACGCGATGGCGTTTGAAGCGAAAGCCACTGGGTTCGAGTCCCAGAGTGAACATCAACTCTGGGATGCAGGTTCATCGAGCTGACGAGTCCCAAATAGGACGAAACACGCGTCAAACTGGATTCCACTGCTAGCCACTATCCATCTTTGCTTACCATGCTTGTGAATTTAGGCTATATCGAGGCAATGCGCACAGTATGCACATATGCCAATTAGAGACTGGCCAGTTGCATTCCTAAAAACATCAATGGGAAGATCCAAACAAACAATACTAGGTAAATAAATTGAAGTTTCTTTGTACTAAATGATATGTTACTTCATGCAAAAGCACTAGCTGAATGTCAAGACCAAATTTAATACTTTTTAGTAAAAATTAACGACAACTTATCTATGGTTTAAAAAACAATTCTATAACGAAGAAAATGTTTTATGTCTTTAAATTTGTCAACCGATAAAATATTTGTGATGTGGGTTACTGATATCGACAGATATAAGTAGTATATATCATCAATAGAAAGTGGAATGCCTGTCGGCAGAATGTTTAGAAGATCAAAGAGAAGAGCATGAGAACAGAGAGTGATTGGTATGGAACTGAATGAATAGCAAAGTTTGAGACAATTAATGGACGTTTTGCAAATGAAGTATTTACCGTATGATTCTTAGATTTTACTATGAAATTCTGTAATTTTGTATTTAGTTGTCCCCCACTTTTGTTCTCATTCATTACATGCTGGCAAAAATCGGCAAGAAATAAAAACTATAACTTACATTATTCACTGTGGACGTTGGTTCTCCAGTACAGGATTTATTTGAAATACCTAAGAAAAAAAATGTTTTATTTTCACTGATAAGGTGAACATACAAAGTATGTGACAATATAATTAACCACAGTCAAGAACGGATATAATAACACACTACTATAAAATTGTAGCTTGAATTCCTATTACAGCTAAAGCACAAGATGTATGTCATTGATCACAGTGGATTATTTTCTTGATGGACAAGTAAAACGACATGATCACTGAGATTAGTTAGTAGAAGTAATAGATTGTGTTCAAATTCCGATCCCAATAAATTACATAAATATCAATGTTTGTTAAATATTCCGATGGTTTCTTTTTGATGCCTAGACTTGTGTTCAAACAGGTAGTTTATTTATTTCAAGTTCATTTTCTACCGAAGTCAATAAATAATAGATGGTTGATTTGTTTCCATATTAAGTAACCCATTGGAAACTCGAAAGCACTGGACTGTCGTTTTGTCCTAGTAAGGAATTCCTCAGCATCCACGACCCAGCATGCGCGAATTGAACCCAAGATCTCCGATTTCGTGTGTGATCGCTTAACCTTTAGACCATTTAGCTGACATCCAACGGTGTTAATGTCTAACTTCAATCAATCCAGATCATACTTAACTAACTTTTTTATCACAATATAAATTTCTGATTGTTCATTTTTGGATAATTCACTTGAGATTTAAGTCAGTAGTGGTTACTTATTATTATTATCCACATAACATATGATGAACTCTTGGTTGGTTAGCTCTTAAAATGATAGACTATTCCTAAGACAAAAGCTTTTCTGTTAGCTGTTTTATCTAAGATGATTGGTTTAATTTGCAGATTATATTCATTAAAGATTGGTCTCAGTTGGTGTAATATTGAAAACTAAAGAACACTGAATATGTACTTCATTCAGATATAGGACTACTCATAAGTTCCTTTTCATGACCCTATCAGGGATCGAACCCAAAGCGAATGATCAACCATTAGAATTACTTGATCAAAGTAATCAAAGTACAGTGGTACTATTGTAACTTCAATTAATTTATGATATAACGCAACAATCATATAATTCAATTGGAAATAACGGTGTTACCTGTGATGAATACAACTCCACAAAACCTCTTCAACTAACCTATGATTGGTTGTGATTTGAATGCAATTTTGTTAATCTGGTGATCAGTTATAGTAATATTTCACAATATAATTTATGACAATCTACCGTTTATCATTATTAGTATTATCATCAGTAACTCATTATAATCTTTTCAATTGTAAATCAATAAATGTTAGTTGATCTTTCTTTACATAATCAATAATATGTTTCACAATTATATTATGAATTTTACCATTTATTTTGTAGTTTCATTATGTAATGAGTTGAAAGTAATAGAATGAATGGTGAATAAGTTTTTGGATGATTAAAATAAATGAATTAATGAATAATCGATAAATGAACAAAACAATGAAACGATCTAATTGATTGATCTCTGTACAAGGGATCAGATTATACATTAATAATAAAGAAAAAACCACTAATCAGAGGAATAGGTTGTTTTATTTTTCATATAATAAGACAATATGCATACTTATATAGAAAGAAATAAACAGGATTAGATTTCATAGGCGATTGAAATGAAATTAGAATTGTGTAGGTCACTCATAAAACTCTTCAACGAATTAAAACACCTAACCATTAAGCCTAATTCTTAATCTCTATTAAGAATTTTATAAGATAGTCTTCATGATTATTTTTTATTTTGACCGTTTAACTCGTCAACTATACAAATGATTACTAACAATTTGTACTGGCTCCATGAGGTATTTTCTGGAGTTCTAGTGAGAAGCAGTAACCAGTGGAGTTCAACCAGGTCTGATGGGAGATATCAACTCACTGACGACATTGGTGAATGGTTGCTCAATTTCGTGGATTAGTTGAAATTAGACATTAACACCGTTGGATACCGAATGGCTCAGTGGTCTATCGGTTAAGGGCTCTGGCGCGAGACTGGTATGTCCTAGGTTCGAATCTCGCGAGGCGGGATCGTAGATGCGCACCGATGAGGAGTCCCACAATAGTACTCCCAAGTCATAAGTGCACACTAATGAAGAGTGCTTCAAATTTTAAAACGAGTAGTTATCAGATTCATCTGATATCACTTTATGATGTGAACTATTTTGAAACTCAATAAATCTCAAATAATATGCTTGGTCCTTAAAATTTACATAAATAACACTAAACACCTGAACAAGACATTGTTCTCTTAGATTAAAAATATCTTAATAGTGTAGCTTCTTCATATTTTGTTAACTTTGTTAACGAACTATTCAAACTTAGAATTACAGGTTTTGGATTTTAGCGCGAAATTCATTCATCCATTCGGATAAACAGCGTTTCGGCATTTTAACTGATGTCAATTCTTGATGAAAAACTTAAATCTAGTTCCTAACCATAACCATTAACGATACATCATAACTCTAATTCTTCATACTAGCAAATCATAACTAGGAATTACAATTGCAGGACTGAACATACACTATATGGATACATTAACAAAATTACTTAGAGTACAACTGTTATCTAACAGTTAAGTTGAAACCATCGATATGTATTTACATCATTTCAAAAAAAAGCAAACGAGATAACCATAGTTGAAAGCGTGAGTCAATTGAAGCTAGACCACCATGGAAAACCTGGAAGCACTGAACGTCCGTTTCGTCCTATTATGGGACTCCTCAGCAGTGTGCATCCACGATCCCGCCTCGCGAGATTCGAACCCAGGACCTACCAGTCTCGAGCCAGAGCCCTTAACCGATAGACCACTGAGCCATTCGGTATCCAACGGTGTTAATGTCTAATTTCAACTAATCCACGAAATTGAGCAACCATTCACCAATGTCGTCAGTGAGTTTCTATCTCACAACAGACGTGATTTGAACTCACGAGGCGGGATCGTGGATGCGCACTGCTGAGGAGTCCCATAATAGGACGAAACGGCCGTCTAATGCTTTCATGTTTCCCATGGTGGTCTAGCTTCAATTGACTCACGCTTTCAATTATGCAAATATATTATTCTTATTTAAAAACATTACAATTTGTAATATGTATATTAAATATGTGAATTATTATTATAGTAAAACTACATAATTAACATTCATTACAACAACTTACCACTAACGGAATTAGAAGAAACGTCTTCACAGGACAAATTCTGATTTAGTTCAGCTGAGAATCTGGTACATGATGAAGTTGATCTACTATGATGATTTCTCGAAACATTATGATTGACAGCTTCATGAGTTATCAACTCTGTCCGAATTGGATGAACGTACTATGTATATTATGTATTAACATTAAGAAAACTATAACCAGTGACTAACCGAAATAGTCTTTTAATAATTCACAACATTTAACGAATGAAATACAAAGAATCAGCTATCATATACAAAGGGATCAAATGGAAGTTTCTATAAGACTGATAACTTTTTTATTTCTGACAATCATTTCATCTTCTCTATGAGACAAAATAGGATATTTGTGAAGTGAGGTTTGTAAATGTTTGACATTTTTTTAGCATAATTGTATAGTGGCTTGGAGAAGAGTAAAAAGGATTAGTGTTTTATCCTATTTGAGACCCGTTAGCCAGATATATCTGCGTTCCATTGTTGATGCATGAATTGAAAACCGAAAGCAGTATCTATATTTATAAAGATCAATGCATTTTCCACTAGGGTTCAGATAGCCACTGACTTTTGCAACGGATAATACGCTAAATTATAATGGTTTATGCTATACTGCTGTAAATTTTCAAAGAATATAGAGGCATTACCTCAGAATTTGCATAAGCTAATAAAAAACCTGATCGTATTTTAGTCTTAAATATCAACAAATGAACAGAACTTTTAAGATTTAAGACTATCAACAATATAGTGTCTTATCAGAGAACCAACTGTGCTTTATTTGAGGGGATTCTGTACATATAGACTTAATTTGTCGATAGTATTTGTCAAGGACTGATTTGGTTTAGGGTGCATTTGAAGACTAAGGAGGACAAGATAACTGACTTGTCCTAAAGTGTGACTCAGCAATGCAAACCCACTACACCATCACCCACCAAACGCAAGGTCTTCAGGGGCCCCATGACAGGGCGAGAAATTAGCCTACTATGAATACCTACCGATATCAATAATGCATTATTCATTAAATTCAGCCTTAACATATTAACTTGACTATGCACTGAGTTAGTAATATGCGAATAAAGCGTTGTTATCTATTAAGATACCAAATATCCCGTAAGCCTGCTACTGAATTGTGTCTGAAAATCAATAAAATATTAGTGTATTGAGTAGATGAGTAATGTTTAACTCATCGAAAGACAGTCGTACTGTAAATAAACTACTGAACCTGCTCTAGCTGTGCAATAAATGTAACTTTGTCATTAATTGCATATGTATATATAACGTACCTAGTAAATCGAATGTTTCCATAGATTATACTCATCTCTTGCGTTATGACAGGTAAACTGGCTTATAGAATAGTGAGATGAAATGGTTTTGCAATGAAATAATCAACGTCATAGAAACAGAAGCTTACTACTCGAATCAATTTTTTCATTTAAAATACTTAAGTGCTCAGTTATGGGCAGATCTAAAAAAACATGAGAGGTTTTACAAGCAAGACTGTCAATACTTGATATTTGTAGTTGTTTTTAACAATCGCGCACACTACGATGAAATTTACTACCATGTAATACCCGTATCAGTTAGTAAACAACTACCATTGTACTGAAAACAAATTACATGGTATAAAAGAAGCAGTGGAATTCTTAAGTCTGCTTTAACAACTCTGTGGATACTTAGATTATTCCAACCGAAAAGTGTTTAATTTATTCGGTTACGTGATGTGGTTGGTGACTGTGTACAAAATGACGTTAAGTCCTTTGCAAATCTGGTGTATGAATTCTTTCACACCCATTTGAAATGCTTTTGCTTCTAATGTACCAACATTTGCATGTTTGTTAATTCTCTAATATCAGTATTGTTCATTCATGAACTATTTTACTGAAACTACATAACATAAACATTTAAAGTAATACACGATCTATCAACGATTGGACAAATGTAATTCATTTGACAACAAACACAGTATTATATACTCAGTTATGAGATACATGGTGAAACTATAATTTATAGACGACTTTTGAGCGACGCTATAGTGACCTTGAGAGTATCCACTTACTAAATAGGACTAAATACGGGTTACTAAGTAGTGTGAAGAATTAAAATTATGATTTATAGTTAATGGTTAGGGTTAGGAACTAGATTTAGGTTTATCATCACGAATCGACATCAGTTAGAATGCCGAAACGCTATTTATCCAAATAGATGAATGAATTTCGCGCCAAAATGCAAGACATGTTATTCTAAGTCTGAATAGTTCGTCCATAAACTATAGTCTCGCCTCTTTATTGCTTTAATACCTATAAATTATGTATTCATTACACGATAATAATTGAGAATCAAATTTGATTATATTTAAAGCATATCAAAATATAAAATATCAATTGGACTAATAAATTTCAACAACCATGTACACCGTTTTATAAGCTAGAAGATCGTGCAGTCACATGATTTTTGTGATAGCTGTGATAGGCATTTTATCCAGTTAAATGGACCAAATTTAACCATAATAAGTGATTTGTGACAACATGAACAGAGAGATGTTATGTAGCTTAATTCTTATGCTATCCAGCAAAAAATGATATGTACATTATTAAACCTTTGAGTACGCATCATTAGATGACAGTTCTATGAAGTGTTGAATATGGTATTATGGGCAAAAAATGTACATAGTTAATTCATTTATCTATGCATAAATACATTTACACTAACATTTCTGGTAACGATACCATTATCAATATCTTGATTGGATTTGCAGGGTTCATTGTGAGACCATGATTGTATAAACATGGAAGATTTTATTCCTGATATGAAGGTATTAGCTTTCTCACTAGAAAAAAAAACGAAAAACAAGCATCAAAATACATAAACTATTCTGATAAATTGTTTACAAGAGAAATTATCGTAAGAATTACTGGACTAATTAAAAAGAAACGTAAGAGAAATATAAAATTTGCACCGAAGAAGTTTAATTAACCGCAGTGGATTTTAGAATTATTTAATTACCTTTCTTGATGAAATATATCTGGCACAGTAGAAGACCCCAAAAACATTTTTTTATTATAGGCTAGCATTGACTGAAGAACCACTAGAAACTAGTCACAGTCAATGTAAGACCTAGTGTAAACCTGAATTGACTCAAGTTATCACACTGTATCAGTATGGCGAGATAAAATAATAAGATAACAAACAAAATATGAGAATTAGTAGTGTCAGAGATCGAAGAAATGATTGAGAACACATAATATACTTCAAGATGGAGAAATGAATTCATAGAGTAAAAGTTATCCGAAGTCTCCAATTGTTAATCTCAAATATTGCACAAATCCTAAACAAGTAGTAATATATACTTACCAACGCAGAATAGAAAAACAGTAGAACTATTGAAACCAAAGCGGGAGAGCTAAAATGCTAATAATCAACGGCATATTTTCGTATTAAGCAAAAGGTAATAGTCGTCTACCACTTCATGACTTTTGTCTCAATTCTTGATTAATTACTTCGAATAAGGAGTAAATCCGTTCCATTATTGACAGTTAATCCAATTTGAGTTTGCTGATCCATCCGATCAAAAAATATGGTTTTATTCACTTAAGTCGCTGTAAAATTTACCGATCGATTACACAGTTAGCCGATATAGTGTCAGTTAAATAAGCAAACAGACTGAAGAAAAGCTTAGTTAATAAAGCATGTATTTATGAGCTTTTTATAACTCCGACTGTAACCCTTCTGGGACTATTGAAGACTCCATTCCCAGTTAAACGAGGAGAGTTGATCATGAGGTCAGTAAACCAATCCTGCAGAAAACAACCTTGCTAAAAAATAATAACCAGAAAAAAACGATTTGAACCATTCAAACTCTGTCCTGGGAATTGAAGGATCTTCATTTAGAAGAATTATGTCGCCTCATGGTGAAGGACGAGATCATTCGGATGTCACGAGGTCGATACTCCTTATAACAACCAGAGCAAAAATTAATTAAGACACATGGAATTTTCGTTGGGAACCAGAAACAGACATCAAAAAAATGAGTAGCAATTCGAAACAACTGGAAAGGAAAGCCCAGGATGCAGTTAGTTGGAGAATCCTGATCGGCGGCCTATGCTCTCACGAGACGCAATACGCGTACCCAAGTAAGTTTATGATATGATGAAGAGGAATCGCAAGCTGTTGATATATATATATATATATATATATATATATATATATTACTGAACTTTAATCTACAAATACACTCATTCGTTTATAGCGTTTTTCCTTTGCGGTTTTATTATTTATCACTAATTTTAAATTTTAAACAATCTAATTAACTCATGAACCAATGCATTTTTCACGTATTTTGCCTACATATGAACGACCACATGAAACTACGATAACCAGAATTTTGTTCGTCCCAACTAAATAAATCAGATTTCAAGTGCGCACCGAAATCAATAAAACTATTGCAGTTGAATAGCGCGACTTCTTAAATTGAATGCCATCGACTGATATATCGACAAAATCGATATAAAAAACAAATCATACGTGTTATTACCAATAACAAAAGTAGAAAAATGTTGGCTACAGTCTGGATTCAATGGTCAATTTCGTCAATATGGTCACTATTATTTCTGAAGCAACATTCAAGAACACTGATTAGTACATAATGAAGATAGAAAAAATTTGACGTTATAACAAACTGGTATATGAAACCTAAACACAAAAGATCGACTAGAGACATGGAAGGTAGGAGGAAACAAAGGTAATAGTCAAGAAATTAGTGTGAAAAACAATGTCAAGCTCACCACACTGCACAAGAATATAATATTTCTGGGGTGGGTTTAACATCTTAAGCCTACCCCAGAATTACTTTTTTACGCAGTGTGGTGAGTTTGACATTGTTTTTCACATTACTTTCTTGACTGTTATCTTTGTTTCCTCCTACCTTCCATTTGTCTAGGTGACAATTTGATTTTTCCACTTAGAAATATTCTTAACAAGTATATGTGATCAGACTTTTCAAAATGTATTGCGCTAATATGTCACATAGTTCTGATAATCTTCAACTTCTTAATACATTATCCAAATTTATTGAAGGAGCTCACTGTTTTATACACAAAAGTCAGGTATCCATACGGCTTTTGGAGTCTAAGTCTTAAATAAATTTCCATTTATCCCGGGAGAAAACTAGTAGATATTCAGTGAAATGAAAGCAACCAGAACAAGAAATACACAAAGAGACAACAAAAATAACTGGGGAATCGGGGAACGTCGTATCATATTTCGCTTGATATACGAACGCACAACATGAAAACAGTACTACTAACTTTTACTTTTAAATGTTTTAAGTAGAGAGAATTATCTGCCTTCACAATATAATTTCTTTAGCTCAAAAATTCTTGAAAACATAAACAATTTCGACAGAATCATAATGACTTAATCAAAGATTAGCATTCATCTTTCAAAACCTGACGCTATACGAAGAACATGGAAATGCAGTGTTTCTAGAAATAATCACACGGACCTGTAAATAAGATTCTACTTTATCACAGCTTAAATGGTACTAAAAAGGACGAACTCGCTTTGGTTATCTGATGACCCAACCAGTGAAACCATACGCCATGAAAACACCAATAACAAACCATTTAGCTGTGGTAATACTGTAGATTTTAACCTGCGTATAACAGTCAATCAAGATAGTGAAAAATGAATAGTGGGAACAAATGAGGCTGTTGTATCTTAGTCACTAGTTTCAGAAAGAAAATACTTTAAAATATTTTCTTTACAATCATAATAAGAGCTATAGTCATTTTTATGAACGGAAACCAACTATAAAAACTCAGGAAATTCAGACTGTTTGTATTTAAAACATGAACAAAGTATACAAGAAAACCAACATACATGTCTTCTTTTGTTATCCGAGTCCCATCGAGAATACGTAAATTTGGCAGCCAACCCAAGACAAACAATTTATAGTCGTTTGCACTAAAAAAAATCAGCGTTAAGGTAAAGCTTTCAAACAAGTTAAAGTAAATCTCAATGAATAAAGTAGGAAGGATACAATGATTCGATACACGGATTATTTCCCAAAGAGAACTGAGTAAGCATGGGTAAGCAGGACAACTCTTGAACCTTCACATTTACGGTAAGAATATAGTCTTACTTCCAGAATGTTGGAGACCATATTACTGGCTAAGGACAGTATCTCAAGTGACTTTGGTAAATTTCTCGATCCATCATGTAGAGTGCTAATGTGGTTGCAATGTAAAAGAAGAGTCTAGTAATATTAAATATTCTTCCGAAATATACCTTCAGTTTCGTCAAGTGGGATAAGTCCTGAAGTTCGTAAATATAATTGTCAGACAAATCCAGATGTTTTAAGTTTAGATTAGTGTCCAGCTGTTCAATAACCTAAACTATTACCAACTGTCATATATTGGAATCACCTTAAGTTTGTTTCCCGATAGGTTAAGCCAACGCAAGTTAGTGAGCTTGGCTAAACCTTGAAATAATTACAATTCACAACAACAAAAGTTATCAAAATACCATCCATTGTAACGATACCGTTATTAGGTAAATTTAGGATCGTCAGGTTTATTAGACCCGCTACTCCGTGCATCTGAAGTAACTTGTTGTCTGCCACTGAGAGCTAAAACAGTTCAGGCCTAATATTACTCATACTTGTTGCAAATTACACAAAGTTGATAAGTTCTCCAAGCGACGAATGTAGTTATGATCCAGGATTAAAACATTGATATTAACTGGCAAAGTTTCAATGCTTTCTATACCAGATCTAGCGATATTTAACGTTATTTCCCCATTTGGTCCTATAAATGTTGGAAGATCTTGAAACCCTTGACCAATCAACTTGCGCATTTGTTGACAGATTTCGAAAAGTTGACAGATTTCGAAAAGTTCACAGCCTCAAGGACAAACAAGTAATAGCTGTAATTGAGTCATAAAACTAACGACATCCAACATGCAACATTTTTGTGTGAGTTTGCAAGAAACGATTGATTTCTTTTCATTCTCCTAGTTACTTGTGGGCTTGCATATTCCGTAATCCGAGTGAATGTATTAGTCTCAGGTAAGTAGCGATTATGGGCATAAGCAGCTGTCACATTACCAGGTAGAGGGTCGGTTGATTGCAATATAATATATGGTAAATTATGTATTTGTCAAGTCCCTTTTTTATTTCCCGTTGATATGATTCTAATTTGGATTGAGTTAATCGGTATTCTTATAACATAAATCATCCATTTTATTCCGTCTACTACCTAGGCTAACGCCGTTTGTGTGATAGCGGCAATAAGAAGCCAAATAGAGGTTGCATCAGATGAATATATTCCAAGTACTCGTTCATCTATATAGATATTCAGGATGAAAAGCGGGCAAGCGAAACGAAGAGGAAAAGGCGAATATGCAAGCCCAATTTCACAAAGTGGTATGGATTTCCTATAAACGCACGTTCACTTCGAAACAAAATTTCAGCCTTGAGAACCTTAGCCTTTCGAGCCAAGCCTTCTTTTATACTTATCACTGAAACGTGGTGTTATCCAGCAGTAGCCGATTCCGAATTAAATATCCAAAACTATCGACTCTATCGCCGTGACAGAGAAACTAAGCGAGGAGGCGGTTGTCTTATATTTGCTTTGGATACCTTAACAACTAACAAAGTTGAAGATAGTATCTTGAATAGTTTACCAGAATCGATCTGGATATCAATCAATACCCTGAATCATAGTCTACTACTAGGATGTATATACAGAGCTCCTGATAGTTCGGATAATTTGAATGATTTTATTATCAATGCATTTATACACGCATCTACTCTAAACTTCAGTGCTAAGATAATCACTGGCGATTTTATTTGTCCTGGGATTAACTGGAGTACCGGTAGTTGTCAGTCAAGCAATGATAAATTTTCATCAACCCTTAACCTGTACTGCTGGTCACAGCGGGTTCGTACCCCAACAAGGGGTGATAATACACTTGATCTAATATTTAGTAGAGATGTCATCCCCCTGTGGGGAGTAGTGTAACGTCGTGTACTATATTACACCTACATAGCTTATTCTAGTTTCTGGACAAGCCAAGTCACCTATAACGTTATGAGTCATATTTTGATCTTGTTAATTATTCGCTTATTGACCTTGACTATTTTTTTATATCAGCGTATGTGTATGCACCCTTCTTATCCTACCTATCACATGTCTGTCATTCATTTTAGTCTGACTATAAATGTTGATTAATGCTTGCTTATAACGAGTTGGCTTCCCAGCCATCTCCACTATGCATCATCTTTCCTTCGCTTGCTTACATTTGCTAATGTGCTCACTGCCTTCTAGCCCATGTTATTTATCAATAAAAATGTAGATGCTGCTTCCCTTTGTCTTCTGATATTATACACCGTTCAGATTGTTATAATAACGGTTATTAAGACGATCAATTAACGAAGCACTACACTACATATTGGTAATCCCGACGTACGAACACGCAACACATATTGGCGATCCCGAATTACGGAAGCGAAGCAAAGTTGCCCTACATGCGAACACGTAACAAAATTGAATGCCTCGCCGAACGAACACTCAACATATTGGTTAGCTGTATTTGGAACACGCAACAGAATTGGCGACCGCAACGAGCAAACACAAACCAAAAATTGAACCGTCGACGACATATTCCGTTATGATTCAAATAATCATCACAAGCTCATTATTACAATAATGTCATATCATCATCTAACGTGGAATTATTATTTTTGTTCTTATTGACATCAAACTATGACATTTACGCAGTCAACTCACTAATCGAACAAATTATAATTATATGGACAGTACACGTTATGATATTCGAAACTCACTGGATTATTTTTATTATCCAATGACGTAAAATTTTGCTGATTTAGGTGAGTTCGTTCCAATTTTTTTATGTCATTTTCGGCTTAATATTACACTCTATCATAGACATAAGTTTGGAGTCATACTCCCGATAGTAGGAACTTATGTTCTCGATAGACAACTGATGTTCATTCATCTAATCGGTACTCAGCAATAGTCGTTTTCTACTTTTTACGTGACAACCTTAACTGAACTTCAGCAATTTTGGTTTCACGATGATCCCTACTTTAATGTCTATACATAAACCAAGTATTTGACGCTGCATTACCAGCCGATTAGTAATGATTATGTTCATATTATTTATTCATTCAAATGTATATCTGAATGCTGCATCATCCATCACCGATAATCACAATTCGATTACTGCAATTAATATTTTATTTCCATTGCACTGTACACCAGAACATAGAGTTTAGAGCTAGTCTCTCAAAGATACACTCTTGTTCGTCACATTCAAGTCAGTCTCACTCGCTGTCATCGACAATCATATGTATTGGTATTTTTATCATGCCTTAAAACGGTTTCGTAACAAATGAGGTTGAACGCATATCCCTCTAACTACACAAACCACGCTGGGCTTCTAGACCAAAAAGGAATACGACTCCGCATATCTCGTCTAAGCAGCCACTATCCTGTTCCTCTGGTCATTCTACTAATACATATTTAACGATAACTCAACGCAAGCGTTAGCGCACGCTGATTTCGCATTTTATTATCATAATCGATTGCAGTACAGCAATGAATACCACCTGTTGATGCAGTCATCTTCCTACGGCTGGATTACTTCTTATCCCACATAAACTTCAGTTATGTAAATTCGAATACACTCATCACTAAGCGACTCTATTTACTCTACTGCGGCTTATCAGAACATCATATTTCACTGTTCTTCATTCCCATATTCAATTGACACTACAGACCAATTTTAATTATATTCTACATTACTTATTTCCACGATTTATTCCGCTGTCATACCCATAAACAATTTATTGCTCTATTTTCACGATATTTCGAATTGCTCATACAAACATGTTATTTTATCATCCGGACAGTCTCAACATAAATGCATGTTAATTTTTTTGTACGCTTACTAATTTACTCATAATCACATGCTAACATTTCCATTTCTGTCCTTATTTTGACAATTTTCATGTACATTTTCACATAAGTGTGACACTTTCGTTTAATAAACTCGCCCCTCGATCGACACTGTAACTTATTCGATATAGTACAATTTTTTTTCTCTACATATTGTTAATGTTATCCACATGCCATTTCAGTGTTATTTTCAAATTAATGTGCTAATACTTTAATTTTTAATACTTTAATTTACTTTGTGAACGCATATACACCTCCTCCCCCTTGTTTATTTTGCATAACAGTGTTTCCTCCGGACACTCTGGGGGGAGCTATGTGGGGAGTAGTGTAACGTCGTGTACTATATTACACCTACATAGCTTATTCTAGTTTCTGGACAAGCCAAGTCACCTATAACGTTATGAGTCATATTTTGATCTTGTTAATTATTCGCTTATTGACCTTGACTATTTTTTTATATCAGCGTATGTGTATGCACCCTTCTTATCCTACCTATCACATGTCTGTCATTCATTTTAGTCTGACTATAAATGTTGATTAATGCTTGCTTATAACGAGTTGGCTTCCCAGCCATCTCCACTATGCATCATCTTTCCTTCGCTTGCTTACATTTGCTAATGTGCTCACTGCCTTCTAGCCCATGTTATTTATCAATAAAAATGTAGATGCTGCTTCCCTTTGTCTTCTGATATTATACACCGTTCAGATTGTTATAATAACGGTTATTAAGACGATCAATTAACGAAGCACTACACTACACCTTTATCTGTACAAGTATACAACGAGTTTGAAAGCAGTGATCATAAGATAGTAGCTTGTGCTCTCCCCATCTATTATTCCTACAAACAACCAATTCAAAGAACCTGCAATTGTCGAAACTATAAGCATGCAGACTGGAACCTCTTGCGCTCACTGATCAAACTCTCAGACTGGGATGAATTCTTCTCATGTAATAGTATCACAGATGCCATCAACATATTCTATTTGATTGTTAACTCTTGTCTAGACTTATGTGCACCAATAAGGACTTACAGGATTAGTAAACCTTACGAAATATATATACCATATAAGTATCGTAATAGACTAAGACGCCTGAAAAACGTTATTTTAAATCTAACGACTTCACGGCAGTTACACAAATAACAATAATTTTTGACCAAATCAAAGAGAAACATAGGTTAAAAGCCATCAATGAAGAGCTATTAGCACTAAGTACTAGCTCAAAAGTGCAAAACCTAATACACCTTTACAATAAACGTGCTAAATCAACTCAAAAAATTGATATACCATGCACCCTGCATAATAGCAGTATTATGTATGACCCTAAAACTATAGCAGACCTTTTCAGTGGTAATTTTGCAAATGGCAAATAATCCATAAATGGCTCTGTTTCTAGAGTTATATGCATGTTTGGTAACTCAATTAAATATATTTCCTTCACAAGTCTAAAAATTAGCAAGGTTATAAATAACCTCAAGGTTTTGAAAGGTCACGGTGCAGACGGGATTTCATTATTTCTCAACAAATATGGAATCTTGTATTCTAATGTACAAAGTCTGTGTTCGACCACTTCTCGAATACTGCGCGTTTTTTCTTAGTAGCGCGAGCATAAAGGATAAATTAAGACTGGAATCAGTACAGAGACGATTTACACTTCGTACTCTTGGAACTGATAGCGCCTTGACATATAATTCTAGGTGTAGTAAACTAGGGCTTCACCCTTTATGGAAGAGGAGACTCAAACTAAATCTTATCTTTTTCAAAATACTTAACAAACTATCGTTCACATCCAGCCAGGCGATTCAATATGCTGAAGTTTCAACTCAAGGTTTCGAGAGGTCAAGGAGCAGACGGGATGTCATCATTTCTCTACAA